AACTCGTTATTGGAGTTAATGACTTGGTTTTTCATTATCGTTACGCAGCTTTTCTACGGTATACAAAAGCTGTGCAACGATAATGAAATTGTCGTTAAGGGCCGTGGCACACAGAAAAACTTAAGTAGTAAGACGTAAGCAGTAAGCAAATTGATCAATCACAGTCGTTGATTCTTGGACTGTAAGAAGAATCAGTGACTGTGATTGGTCAATTTTTTTACTGCTTACGTTTTACTGCTTAAGTTTTTCTATGTGTCACCAGTTTAACTCCAATAACGAGTTACAAAATAGGACTACAGTGCTGGGATTCTGTAACTCGTTATTGGAGTTAATGACAGTTTCGTTATCATTGCGCAGCTTTTCTACAGTATACAAAAGCTGCGCAACGATAACAAAACTGTCGTTAACTCCAATAACGAGTTACAGAATCCCAGCACAGGTCTACTATCTTCAATTCGAGCACGTAATACGATTCAACGACAAGTCAGACATACTTATTTAAGTAGTACGACTCAACTGCCATTAGTGCCTATCTCTAATATCAGAGAATCGTGCAAAGCGATGTCAAGCGAAGCGATGGCGTGGCTGCTGTCTCTCTCTCAGATTTTTCTCTGTTAATACAAACGAACTTCGTGAATGGTATAAAGTTGTCACCTAATTTGAACACGACTGAGTTATTATGATTTATTTATTAAAGCCAAAAAAGAAAAACGAGTGAGCAATGCACACAACTGACATCAATGTCTTTTATATAATTTATAATCAAGCGGATATTGAGACGAAGAAACGATGTAAGTTATTTAATTTTTGTATATAACATATTTATCAATTATTAATTTATTATCAATTAATTTTTTATTTAACAACAATGCAGAATGCCAAAAATAAGAACAATAAAAAAAGCATCAGCAAGAGGAAGAATAAGAGCAGCACAAGAAAGTGAAAGAGCAGCACAAGAAATTGAAAGAGCAGCACAAGAAAGAATAAGAGCAGCATAAATAGATGCAAAAAGAATGTCATTAATTTGTAAGATACCACATACATTTTAGGTCAGTTTGTCTTTTAAAATAGTAAATATATATATTAATTATTTTGATGTAAAAGAATTAAAACAATTAATTTTTTAGGTTAATAATCTTACTTGAAACCACTTCGTTATACCTACTCAAACAATTTCATTATGCTGGCTGATACTTTCCATGAAGAATGAAATCTTGTTGCAGTTATTATTAGTAGATATATAGTAATTGTAGGCATTATTCACAAAAAAAAATTTCTAAATTTTATAAAAGAAGAGTCATTTCTTATAAAAGAATTTAAAACTGATTCTTGTAGCATCTGTTTTCATTTTTTCCATTAAAACAAATATTTACATTAATTATTTATATATAAACAACAATATTTATGTAAACAAAATATTTATATTACATTAAGCTTAATAACATATTGGTTTTAAATAAAATTGATATATTTAAAGTCATTAATTGCACTATAAGAAATAATTAGAAGTGGAATAATCAAGGAGAATTTAATACGGCATATGACAAAAATAAGAATGAATAAAGAAATTCCACTGACTTTGGAATGGATGCCACAGAATACGTACATACACAATTCCTTGGATCATCTGTTGCCAGAAGATCAAAATCAGCGCAATTTTGTATTCATAAAACAGGAAACAGAGTTCCTTGATAATACTTTGAATACTGTACAGAATGTTTGCACAGTGCGTCTGCATGAAATTTCATCTAAAGAGGACAAGGAAATCAAGCAACTAAATAACCATTCAAATGCGACAGTAAGTATTTAATCTTTGATTTCAACCCATTCACAATATTAGACTTTTTCAAATCAATATTTAAAAAAGAAATCAACTTAAAACTTAGTTTATTAATAATAAATTTATTAAAATTCATGAATTTGTTTTCAGCTTTCTCTAACAGACTGTCCAAGTGAATCTCCAAAAAAACTGACTGAAGTTCCTGACAGATTATTTAACAGAGGCCGTGTTGACGTGATAGAGATGTCGATGGATCCGTCTGGCTATAAATACATCTTTATTTATGAAGATCAGCAATCCAAGTTTACTACACTAAAAGCTCTACGCAGTGATACAGCCAAAGAGGTTGCAACAAAATTGTTAGATGTATTGGCGATTTTAGGGGCACCGCAGGTGCTGCAGAGTGGCAATGGATCTAAGTTTGCTAAACAAGTTGTGTATGAGTTACGTACACTGTGGAACGATTTCCTCATATTGTACGAGGACGCGCCTAAATGTGAAGTTAGCTGCAAGAATTTTAAAAGCTCGCTTGAATCCTGGATGAAAAAGAATCCGACCAGGACATGGCGTGAAGGGCTGAATTTCGTGCAAATTCTTCATAACACGACATATCGTTGTAAGAACGGCAAAGTCCCGTGCGACGTGTTGTTCGGACGAAACATGCGCGACAGATTTCCTGAAGTCGGTACAGAGACAGGTACGAAGGAAGAATGGGTCGAATGTTCGTCGAGTAGAAAAAACGAAGATACGATCGCAACAACAAGAGACACGCAGAACACATCGGATGATGTCAATGTACGGATAACGGTAAGAAGAGAAAATAATAAATATTACAGTATTTGTTATTTTTGTCTGAGAGAGAGAAATAGATACATCAATGATCTGAAATATAATGTTACCAAATATTTATATATCTTTGATAACCAAATTATTATATATCTTTGATTAACTACTAATTTTGAATATTTCAGAATGACGAAGAGACCAACAACACGCAAAGCGCACAGAGTCAAAATAAACCTACGAAGAGTAACGATTTAAACTATTTGAACGACTCCAGTCTCGTTAACATGAATGACAAAACTCTTGCAAACAATACGCGAACGATTCATCCGACACGCAGCGATGAAACAAATGTGAAAGACGAATTGAAAGTCGAGGACGCACAATCTCTGAAATGCAAATACTGTCAGAAGCAATACATGAAACTGGGCCATTTGAAAAATCATATGAGGAATCATAAGACGGAACGGATCCTCAGATGCAAACTATGCAGTAAAAAATTCAGCGTACCGAGGTTGTACGTCAAGCATATGAAGCAATCGCATGATAAGCAGGATAAGTTGCCCGAGATAGGGAGAGATTGTGCCGTCCGAAGAAGCACCAGAAGCAATGTCAACGCTGTCGCGAGAACCGATGAAGTAAAGGAAGAAGTTCAAGAGTCGCACGAGATATCAGATCTCAACGCAATGAAGGAGGATCGGGACACGTCATCGTTGGACGTTGTCGTCGGGGACTCGTGCGGCAAGACCGTGAAGAATTCGAATTCCAGCGGCCGACGGAAATTGTCCGCGGACAGCCGAGTGTCCAAGATACAATGCACTCTGCAGTGCACATACTGCAAGCAGAAGTTCAGCTTCCCGAGCGTGCTGGAGAGGCACATGCGATCGCACACGAACGAGCGGCCGTACGTGTGCGAGGTGTGTAACAAGAGCTTCAAGCAGCTCGGCCACCTAAGCCAGCACTCGCTCACGCACAATGATTATCGCTCGTTCCAGTGCACAGTGTGCGGCGTCAAGTTCGACTCCCTGGAGACGCTGAAGGAACACACGCACTCGCACCGCAGTGACGCGATCACGCCAAAGATGCGTGACGTGTACCGTTTGTTCGAGTGCGACAGCTGCAAGAAGGTCTTCACCACGAAGAGCGTGCTGGAGCGGCACATATTCACACATACACAGGAGCGCCAGTTCGACTGCAAAGTGTGCGGCAAGCGTTTCAAGCAGGCCGGTCACGTGAAGTCGCACATGTTGGTGCACACGGGCGAACGTCGCTTTCAATGCACTGTCTGCTCCAAACGCTTCAGCCTGTCAAACTCGTTGAAAAAGCACATGTACGTGCACAACGGCGAGAAACCGTACCAGTGCGACGTGTGCGGCGCGCGTTTCCTGGAGAAACGCAACCTCAACGGCCATCTGTTGACACATACCAACGAGCGGCCGTATTGCTGCAAGATCTGCGGCAAGCGCTATACTCTGGCGGACACGCTGCGCCGACACGTGAGTGCCGCGCACGAGGATGGGCGCACCTATCAATGCGAAATCTGCGCCAAGATGTTCAAGCAGCTGGCGCACTTATCGGTGCATAAGAAGGTGCACAACGACGAGCGGCCGTTCCAGTGTCACCTCTGTGAGAAGAATTTTAAGCATAAGAATGTGCTCAAGTCGCATTTGGCGATCCATGCGAACGTCCGACCGTTTGAATGCGACGTTTGCAAGGCCACGTTCGTCCGAAAGACGAATCTGCAGACGCATATCTCGTCCGCGCACATGAACGAGCGTCCGTACGTCTGCACTATTTGCGGCAAGCGCTTCAAACAGATCAGCCACTTGAACGGCCACGTGGTAGTGCACAGCAACCTAATGCCATACAAATGCGACTACTGCGACCGCCGCTGCAATCGCCTGGACAATCTGAAGAAACATATGCGTCTGCACACGAAGAACAAGGAGTAGAAACGAACACGCAGGAGGCGTCCCGTGAACGAGGCGAAGATATCGGGTTTACCTGACACGCGCAGCTGAATCTCTTATCTTTTAGGTGTATCTTATCTACAGATACTCGCCGTCTCTCGAGTAAGTTCGTCGTGTGCAATTGTAAGATTACAAGTGTGACGTTTAATTCCTCGTAGATAATAAGAGAAGTTCGACAAAAGCTCATGAAATATTGTACATCGTATTTTTTCTCTTATTACATTTGACATCACTTCCGCGTCGATCCAGGAAAGATCTTATGAAAGTCCTCGTGAAGGACTACTTGTTATATTATCGTGATTTTTTTATATATTAAATTAAGATCTTTAGTTACTCATTGTGAAACTCTTGATTGATGATGTCAGAAGCGAGGAAACGAATACTCAAAATTCTTCTGAAGTACGTCGAAATAAAAAAACATGTCCAAAAAATTACGCAATCGATTAAGCGAATTTCTAAGATACTTCAACTTTCACTTTTCTTTTGGTCTAATAGTCAATAAATCACAATCACCGTAAAATTAACGTGACAACGCGATCTACCTGTTTAATTTACCTTATAATGTCATGTTAATTTTACAGTTATTGATTATTAGGAAAATGCCCAGATTATTTTACATATCTGTTCAATCGATTGCAAGTGTCATTTTATGGATATATCTTTTCACTTTTTTCTATGTATTTTGCAAGAATTTTTAACATATATTTTCTCGTTCTTTTGACGTCGTAAATCAAAATGGTCACGGCGAGTTGCCAGGAACCTTAAGCTTCTATTTTGCTTCATCTTGTTTGGAGGACATGAGACGAATTAAATTTTATATATACGTGGCCGATATATGTGTGTCATACGTGACACAGGATGTTTAAAGAACTTTGAAGGGAACTTCTAGAAGTTTATACTGAAAATGGAATACTGTTTTTATACACTGCGTGTACTTAAAGCAGATAGATATTTAACAACAACGTTGCATTACATAATATAATGAATTGCTTTTTTTTTTTTAAGTAAATGTACTGAAATCTGTCCTGTCTTTAAAATAAGTATTTAAAGGAAGGACACTAAACTAAGAGACCCACACAGCAGGAATGTCCCAAATACATCATAAGGATATCTTGAAGATATCACATATCCCAAATATATCTTTAGGTCTTTATGATATATTTTGGATATCTCTGCTGTGTAGGGACAATATTTGGTCATAACATGTTCATACTTATTGCTCAATAAATTAATAATCAAAGCTTTCGAGTAAATCTTGACGATAGCAAAGCAGTACACTTTGTAAGCTCGATAAGCTCCGAGTACATATGTAAGTTCACCGCTGCAATATATGAGAAACATATGCAATAAAAGCAGTTTCTTCTTTTACATAAATGCTGTGCATTAATTGGATTCGACTTTTGAACAAGAGCGCGAAATGACTGGCGAATATGACTTCGCGAGTGTCAACGTCGAATGACTGTTGACCTCGTCTAGTCATTATCAAATATCTATAGTTATCGCGAAACTGCGCAGCTACTCAGAAAATGTACATAAAGCTGCGCGAGAACGCGCGACAGTCGCGTGTGCAGCGCAACGCGGTTTGTATCGGTAGAAATGGGGTATAGAAGGGGGTTAGGTCTCGGCACGTTTTTCACCGTGGTGATCGTGCTGGTGGCGATATACTATCGCAACACCGACGACGTGCTGCAAAAGCGTCTGCTAACTTTGCTGCACGGCCTCGAAAGGCTCGAGAGCAAGCACGTGATCACTAGAAGGCCGAAAGTCGCGATAGGTTATGGCGTTTGCACTGACGTGTTCATCGACGCGAAGCATCTGCTCAGATACTCGGATGAGGTCGGCCGGCCTGAGCATTTCGACGAGATCAACACCGAGCTTGAGTTACTGAAGAGCTTCGCCTATTATTTTCGCCATGGTGCCGCTGCCGAGTAAGTCCTAGCCGAGCTCCAGATGTGGCTTGTACGAAATATCCTAAAAATTCGTATAGATTAAAATGCATTGATGTTTCACTTGATAATTTATAAATTGTACTTATCACCTGTTTCTATACCGTTATTGTCGACAATTTTCTTGTAGACGATACATGGCGAACAGAACTCTGTTCGACGAACTGGTGTCAAAGGCGCGTTCGTTTCCTTCGTCTTATTCGACAATCGGTGGGAATGCGGCTGTCATGGCAATGCGATTCGCGAGAGAAGGCTGCGACGTGACACTCGCGGCTAAGCTGACCAAATCCCTGCATCAGATGATCCCACAGATGATAAAAGTCGTGGGTGGTGAGGTAAAGCGCGATGATATTCATCTCATCATGGAATATAAGCATGGTGAGATGTGGGGCCCTTATTCCAGCGCAAGAGCAAACAGGTACTTGACAGAAAAAAAGCTCATCCTTTTTTGTAGAACTTCATAAGTTGGTATATATTGATATAATAAGTTAGAATAAAACAAAATATACTTGTTTTACTCTAACTTATTGCATCAGTATATATCAGGAAGTTCTTTGAAAAAGAACACACATGTATAAATCTTTTATACATATATTACATATAAAATCAGTCTAAAGTTATACCCTTTTGTCTTTTTCTCAGATATATTATTCATAATGACGTGAACAATCCAATGATCAGCTCGTTTGACGCCTTCAACGAGGCTCTGTCGACTTATGACCCTGATTTACTAGTAGTTAGTGGCCTCCAGATGATGGATAACTATCCGTTTCGGGAAGGTAAACTTCTTTCCATTGCCAGATGCGTCGACTTTATATTAAAGCAAGAACGTTTAAATCCCATATTATCTTTGCAGACAAACGCAAAAGTCTGCTGATGAATGTGAAGCGTCAGATGATGGAACGACCAAGTACCACCAGAATTCACTTCGAGATGGCCTCGTTTGCCGAGGACAAGCTGTTTTTCGAGCTGTGCGACTTAGTGGTTCCCTTCGCCGACAGTTTGGGCATGAATGAACAAGAAATAGCAAATCTGTACAATACCATGTATTACGGAAACATCTCGCTGGTGGCCAATTCGACTCCACGAGTCGCCACGGTATTAGATCAGATGAGGACGTTGTTCAAGCTCATACGCTTGAGAAGCAAGTCGATCAAAGATGCCAGGGAGCTCACGAGGATTCATGTGCACACGTTGGCGTACCAGGCTATATTTACTGTCAAGGATTCCGTCTGGAAGAATACGATGGCTGCTGCAGCCAAGGCGTCGCTCACTGCACACAGACACGTGTGTGCAACGAGTAACGTGAGTGTCGCTTAGATTTAAAATGTTAAAAGGAAATGATTTGAAAAAAATAGCTTTCAGATATCTACGTTTGCTTGCTAATTATAAAAAATAGTTTCCTACAGTTAACTACTTATTATTCTAACATTTAGAAGATCCAAAACTACCGATATCCTCAAACAAAACGTCAATAATTGTGAATTTGTCAAATTTTTAATTGTCACAAGCAGGTTGCTGTAATATTTGCATATCAAACGTACATTCACATCTGATTAAACCTGATTAATTTCGTATTATACAGGTCGATGTGAAGAAAGCAACATTGATCATGGACGACAGCTTCTCCACGTCTATCGTCGACGGTACGCGAATAGCGCTGAACATCGATAAGCCGGTGTCTTGTTGGGATGAGGTACTGAAAGTCGAACAGGAGAACATTGCTATTCAGGTGTGCGTAGCGCCTGTGTTAGTTTGCACGCAAGCTAGTCAGACAGCGGGTGGCGGTGACAATATCTCCAGCGCAGGCTTAGTGCTTCAAATCTAAAGCACGGACTTCGTCGCCGATTACGGCGAGATCACTATACACATCGACGTCGTCGCGAATCATCTCTCTTTCTCGCCATCGTGTACACGTGTAGACGAACGAAAATTCTAAAGTAGGCCTCTCTTATTTCCGTTAATAGCACGCATAGATCGCACGAACGATCGATGCTCATTCCACACAGTTTTCGCATTCCATTTTGCCGTAAAATAATAGAAACTGGACTATTATATATTTGCTCTAAACCAGGGCTCGGCACATTTTGCCCATTTCGGTCGATTCTCGGGAGCTACGCTTTTTTTCTCTCCCTTGTCACGCGGCGGGCCATGCAAGTGACAGTCGCGGCCAGTCGCGACTCCAAGCTTAGAGGCACGACCGTCACTTTTTAGGCCGCGCGGCAAGGGGGAGGTAGAAGGCGTAGCTCCCGAGAATCGACCGAAATGGGCAAAATGTGCCGAGCCCTGCTCTAAACAATACGTGAAACATCTTTTTCATTGCCGGTACAATTGTACGCGTTAACGAACACTCTGCCTATTACGTGTCGATAGTGATTAATATCTGCGAATATCGCTCTCGCATTGACGTAGACTGATTAACTGAACGAAGTTTATTCCGATATTGTAGTGCGGTACTGTACTACGTAAGCTAATCGCGCAGCGCTGTGTTAGGGTTAAGCGATATCGTGGATTCACAAAAATCGCGTCTCGAAAAATCGCGAGGAACCTCATCTTGAGCGTCGAAGACTCGAGTGTACTCGTAACAGCAATAACTCCGATAATTACGAAACGACGGAGATTAATAGGTACTACATACGTCGACTTAAAAACAAAAAAAAAAAAAAAACACGGCAAGAGATGTGATATTATCTTAAGAAACCGATCGAAAGATATTAAAAGCGAAGAGTAATGAGACAGAGTGATTCTTTAGAAAAAGGATGTTTTAATTCGAAGGTAAACGTTGTCTGTGTATCTTTTTGAGCGCACGACACATTACATTCCAGTGTTTGAGCGGCCACTACAACCCTTTACGTATAAAAATCGCAACCGATTGATGATGAAGGTAGTGGCATGTTTGTTTTACATTTAAAGTTTGGTATTGTACATATATGACGCGAGCTTAAATGTTACGGGCTTGCAATATGAAAGAAGAATATATAATACGTTCGAGTGACACAATGTGACATGTGTGTGTTCCTTTTATTGACATTACATTTCTTGTCTTATCATCTGACCTTCGCAACGCAACGATAAAGATAAAATCGTTGGTTAAATCGTAGGTATTTCCAAGAACGTGTGTAATATTTCCTCTTATATAGCCTTGTATTAATACGTAGTCAAAATTTCAGACCACTGGACATTATGTCTTTGTGGAGGAACAAATAATGAAAAAGTGATTTGATGAGGATTGCATAAAAGTGCGTCGGAAATACCAAGATAGATATCGCCCACGAGAAATAAGGGAGATAATTATCTTATCTTAACAAAATAACAAATGTTACAATCTAACAGACACATTCGTTCAAAGTTTTACTGCATATTGTTAAGTAATCTTTACATCTTAATCTTTTTTTTTTATGCATCCAATGTGTGTATGTATGTATGTATGTATATATATACATACATATATGTATGTGTATATATATATATATATATATATATATATATGTGTCTATATGTGTGCGCGTGTGAATGGGTATACTCACACCGCCTTTGCTCCCTTTTCATTACTTATCATGTGGTCGAGGTCGTTACACGAAATACATTGCGAATCGCCACTGTCGTAATATCTGCACATCGTTTATCGCGTGAGATATTATCGAGTAAACGATAAATTTGTAAGTAAATTAATTGCTCTCTATCGGTCGACGAAGATAAAGAATCGCACGTGACCGATAATGCGTGTGCCTATGATCTACAGTATCGTATCTCCCTCGTCTATGCCTAACATGCGCAGATCGTCTGGACCAGGTTGAGTATCTGCTTCAGCCTCTGCTTGCATGATTTCTGGCGGCGGTTGATCCATGTACTCGGGACCGTAGCCCACGCAGCCAAGCATACTGTACATAGATGAGTACATGACGTTGGTCTCTTGGTGACTTTGCTGCTTGGTTTCCGCGGTCTCTTCCTTGGGGAAAATGATGTTGAGAGCCTCTTGTAGATCGTCCGGTAGCGGTATACTAGGATCTGCTGGTCGCTTCTCACTTGGCTCCGGTATATCGGCCACATCGGAGTGCACCGCGCCCTCCACCGACGGAAGCGGCGGTGGCGGCGGGTTCTGATGATTTGGCACGAAACCAGCGGCAGCGTTTGGCAACTGCGGCGGTGGTGCCGTCATAAAAGCTGGCATAGTTTGACTGGACGGCCGCACCGGTTGATGAGGTGGAAATCTTGGAGGAGCCTGGACAAACGGCGGCGGAGTGGACATAAACGGTGGCGGCGGGCGATTCGGTGTAAACTGCGGAGGTGTGCTCTGCACTGATCTGCTTGGCATTGGTTGCTGTTGCTGGCTCGCTGGTGTGTAGCTGGGCGGCGGCCTGTTCAATTGCGGTGGTGGAGGATGCGGGGGGAGCGGCAACTTCGACACACTCGGTGACTCTTGTTGTTGTTTCTGCTGCTCCACTATCGGTTGCTCCTCTATAACTGTCTCTTCAGATTGATCGTCAATTTCCATATCGACTACCTGCTGGGTCGGTTTGCTCTCATTTAGCACCGGCGGCGGCGGGGCCACCAAGATCTTCATGGGTTGGCTTGCCTTGTTTGTTGGTGGAGTTACACTATTTAAGCTCACTGGAGTTGCTAGCTTGGTGATGTGCACCACACCAGGAGGATTGATGATCTCATTGGGCACCTTCGGTGTATCTTCGAATTTGCTCTGCTGATATGGCAACGGCGTGAGATCTTTATCCGGCAATTTCGGCTCCTCAGCTTTCTTCTTAAATAACGGTAATCTACCAATAAATGGTAGCTTGCCCTTGGATACCTGCGGAGTGGACTTCTTCGTTGGAACAACGTTCTTCTTCGACTTGGATGCTGATTCGTTCGTTTTCTTCTCGAATTTAGATTCATCATTCGAAGAATTGTTCTCTTCTCTTCTGTCCTTGCTATATTTGTCGTAGTTCCTCTTGGGACTGTCACGCCAACCTCTCTCGCGCCTGGGCGAGTCGTTGCTGTCTCGTTTTCGACGATCGTCATAGTAATCGCGATCTCGATCTCTGTCTCGATCTCGGTCTCTTTCCCTATCCCTATCTCTGTCCCGGTCTCTATCTCGGTCACGTCGGCTTCTTCTTTCGTACCTGCTGTACTTGCGATCGCGATCGTCCTTGTATCGATCCCTATCACGATCTCTCTCTTCCTCTTTGTCCACTGATTTACTGCTACTTTCAGGTGGTTTCACTGTCATGTTCACCTGCTGCTTCGTCCAGAAGCCCATGTGCGGCTTAGGCATTTCCTCTGGCTTCGGCAGCTCGATCGGCTTGTTTACGATATGTGGCTGCGGTTTCTCTTCGTCCTTCTTTATCCAGAACGGCTTTGGCGGCTCTTTCGGACCCCAAGCCTCCAATTCCTCCGATTTCTTGGAGAAATTATCCTGCTGCAAATCCTCCTCGTCTTCGATCGTCTTATCTATTTTGCGGCTGCTGATGCTCTTTATCTCCTCTTCTTGTTTGGCTTTTAGCTTATCTCTGATTGAGTTCAGAAGTTGTCTGTCGTCCGATTCCGATGGGTGTTGCTCAGAAGACGGCGATTGGCTCACCTGCACAGCCGATTTCGACCAGTGGCTCTTCAGTTTCAAACGTGGATAATCAATTTCTTCGTTCAGAATCGCCTGCGTCGAGGCTTTCATCTTGTTTCGCATGGCCACGCGTATACTCTTGGTGGTATCCTGATCGGATTCGGTGTCAGAGTTGTCCGACTCGCTAGATGTTTCACTCGCACTGCTCCTGTTCCTACGTTTTTTGGCTTTCTTCGACTTCTTCTTGTTCTTCTTGGATTTCTTCGACTTTGTTGGAGGCTCGTCCTCCTTTTGCTTCTGCAGCTCCAGTTGTATTTGTTTGTGCTTCTCCTCGGAAAACGCCTTCTCACGATCGGCCATCCAATCAGTCTCCCAATGCGGATTCTGTTCCACGAACCGCTGAAGTACACAGTAATGTTAATTAGGTCAATTTGTGTTCTTTGAATAATGTATTGCATTCAATTTTATTTCTTATGTATTTTTGTTGTACTTATTGATGATAGGAATGAGAACATTAAAAAGCTATAAACTGCCCGTGAAACTCAAAATGAGCCAAAATGAAAAAATATGATCTATTTTTGATCTAAATATGAAATATTTTTCGTACTTCTACATTTGTGCCAAATTAGAGAGAAATCGGAGTGTATCTTTTGGGTAGGTTTAATAAATAAGTAACTACTTATAGTAAGTACTTATAAATTACTTACAGAGAAGTTCTCGGAATGCCGCTTGGACTTCAGATGTAAACTAGCGCAATGAAGATCCCCGATCCATGAATCGCAGAGTTTGCAGTACCACGCTGTTGCCGCACTGAAGAACTGCAGCCCTATAATCAAATATACATGCAGTTAGCATTATTTAAGCTTCGAAGCGGGTAAATCGTTATAAGTTCATAGAGAATGACCTTATGCTCTGCCACGACACATTCATGTCACTGAAAACAAAAATAATACATTAAAAGATATTCGGTAAAATGGCCGATTATATTAAATTTTCTTGCATAAGTCCCACGATGATCTGCAGAACAACAAAGGGGAGGAAGGGAGAATCAATTTTATTTCTCACACAACTGTTATCTACATAATACAAAATAATAATGCATATAATACACTGTATATATAAACGTATATTACATTCTCATTGGAACATATTGCGATTGCTCGTTTTCTCTCAATTGGTCTGACAACTTGGAACTTCCGCACGTGTAACTTAAGTGTGGCAAGAATTATCCGATTTATACGGAGGAGTATTCGCAATATATTTTACAAGTGATTAATATACAATTTTTGTTTATAGTACAAACAAATAAATAGCATAACTAAAAACATAGCCGAGTAACTGTCTTCGCGTATAACTTCACCAAACTTACACATTTGTGTATATAAATATATACATCTCATTTATAAGCATGGCACAAAATACTTTATATGTCATTACTTTCTGCCAAGTAATGCACTCCACAATGGATCAGATCTTGACAGATTTAATCCTGAAGACAGTTAAACACCCTAGATGGTCGGGAATCGAGTAAAAGTAGCGTAAAGTGAAATAGACAATAGACATATGATTGCGATAAAGTGATATATTGCCTGAAAGTCTCGGAAAGTGCGCTTCTTGAATCCACTTAAAATCCAATGCATCGCTGTGGTGTTTGTGACATTGCTTGAAAATATGCTGCCGACTAAAGCATCGATTATACAATTACGCGTTTATTAATCATTTACGCATTTGTTGCAATTTTTAGATATACGCCAATATGTAGATCAAAATCACTGGCTCTAATATCTCATTCGTACAATCACGAAGAAATACAAGGGCGGACAAATTTTCAAGCAATCTGTAATTGTTGATCTCTTCAATACATACCGAACACCACAGTTATCTGTGCACAAGCTACGGAATCATATTCTATTAGTAATTGCCCACTGTAATTGATCGTACCTTTGATAGGTGTTCTTTTCGTCGGCAGGCCGGGATAATGAAGTACTTCCTTTTCTGTCCCCTCGCCATTTCGTTCATGCCAAGGCATATCAACTATCTTGCGTTCCTGTTATATAAAAGATACAATATTAGCGAGACTATCTTAACACTAGGCGCAAGAAACTCGGTACTTTCTGTTTCTTTTTCGATAATAGATATTGTGATATGGTACATTAATCACACTCATGTACCAAGTACCTGCTTGTTGATTATATTGTGCAATATATCATCCACTTACAAATATATAGTTTGAACTACAAATACACATAGTCTCAATTATTAAATCCGTTTGTTCTCTCGCAAAATAACACATATACATAACCTTTTTTCTCTTTTACCTGTTTTAGTGACTAATAAATATTATTTATAACAATGATTTTCACACAAGAGTCTGTCTAAAACCTAACTTTCGCTAATTTCAGGCATTTAGTTTCTCCTTAGGACGAATATATCGGTAGAAAATGTTACTTACTAAGCATGCCTCTTTGTGCTCATTGCTATGTAGATGATTTAGATACTCCTTTGCTGTCTTAGGAAAGATATCGCAGACTTTACACCAATGCATTTCGGGATCGTAGTGTACGAAATTGTACATTGGCTTATCCTCCGACGATCTTCTCTCCCTAATATCTCTTTCCGCTTTGGATTCTTTATCTGAATCAGAAGCAGACGACCTGTCGGGAGAAGGGGACTTCCCTTTCGGGAAATCCTCTTTCGGACTTCTCGAGCGTTTTAATTCTAGTTTAAACTTGTTCTTCAAATCCTCCACGGTGACTTTGTCACCGATAATGCCAGTGAGCATGTCGATGACGTTGTGAATAGATTTCATTTTATTTTGTATCTCGATCTGCAAGTACATTTAAAATTTCAGACATTCAAATTACATAAAGCATACGTGATGAATCAAGTGCTTGGCTTACCTGCAACTTTTGATTTTCTTTTATGATACGGTTGTTCTCACGCCCACCTTCCTTGCCTATCTCATCACACTGTTGACGTAGAATTTCCAGTTCACGTTGCAATGTTGTCGATTTCTTAACATATTCCTCACGTTGTTTCCCCAATGTCGCTTTCTGTTGTTTTACTTCAGCTGCGATTGCTGCTAGGTGTTGAATTTGAAGAGAGTTTGAAGATTGCACATATCATTGACTTATTAATATTTATATATGCAAATTTTATTATGTACATAATAAAATTATTTTAGTATACTATAATATGCAAAACATTTATGTTATGACTAACTTTATCAAAGAAATAATAGTGTGTATTGTTAATCTGTATTCATTAAAAATAATTCAATTTCATTTTTTTAAAACATACCTTCCTTTTTGACATCCTCTGGTCTCGTTAAGGATGTCACTAAGTTTGAAGAACCGCTATCAATCGGTCTCGATGATTCTTGCTGGGGTGTCAAAGACGGAGGTGGTGGTGCTTGTTGGTTGTTATACGATACTTGACTTCCTTGCCAGTTGGGTGGCGCATAATCCTAACAGAATAAATGCGTCCAATTAATTTCAAGTATTACAACGGCGTTCTTATCGACCCTTACCTTCATCGGACGATATTCAAATGTCAGGACTTTGGCTAATACATGGAAGAGTCTTGAAGATGTAACGTCTGGTCAATATTACCGAGCTTCCAATGCCGATGCCAGTAAAATAAATAACGCGGATGTTATATACTTACTGGAGGGATTCACAATTGCGGTTGTAATGTAACGTCTTGGAGGGACAAAACGCCACCGAGTATAAATCATAATCGGTAGCAGAATAGTACAGCTATTTTACATAACGTATGTACAGTTTGAAGAACCCACGAACATATATACCCAATCGACTCAACTACGCATTTTGACACCGCAGACGATTCCTCTTAGACACGGAATCGCCCAGACAGCCATCTTTTTAAAAACCCCTGCCCAAGAGCATTCAGTCTTTCTCTAAAGTGAAACTTACACTTCGATAGCCTGCAGGTTGCTGGTAACTGTAGTCATAACCTGAGCCATAGTTGTAACCATAGTTGTTATATCCCTGGTTATAAGCTGATATAGGTGGCGGTGGTTGACTCGTGTTTGGTGGAGGTGCCTGTATATGAAAGTATAAAGCAAATATATGTAAAAAATATATAATAAACAGATAAATGAAATCAATTGAATTACAATCATACAAAATGAATTGATAAATTGTGTCAATTACAAATCAACATATTTTACTCCTATCTGTAAATACCTGGTATTGATTATGTACCGCTGAAACATATCCTGTAGAACTGCTTGGGTTGGGCACAGAGCTCTGCGACTGAGATGGTGGAGCCTGCTGCTTCCAGTCCTGGGATCTGCTGGAATCTTTTCTTCTTCTGTCTCTAGAACTCGAACGAGATCTTCTGTCCCTGGATCGAGACCTACGATATCTGCTTCGCCTGGGAGATGGTGAGCGATCATACTTCCTTCTTCTTCTATGCGAGGAATCATCTGAATCAGCACTAGGGCTTCTGGGACCCTTACGTCTTGGTTCCTGATCCATACTGATTGCTTACTTCGAAACCTGCAAAAGAACTCAAAATGGATTTACCAACTTACCAAAATAATATTAATATATACTTTGCACAATATTCATCTCATATTAATATTAAGGTTTAAGGCAAGCTTGTGATATAAAATGTTTATTTGCATATATATATATATATATATATATATATATATATATATAATATAAGTACATATACACATCATACATATATATATATATATATATATATATATATATATGTATGTAGATAGTTAGACCACACATACAAGAACTGCGAGCGTCGCGTTGCAGCCATTGCTATCCTTTTGTCGCGTGACGACTCGGTATTGATGAAAGCGATTTACTAATGCGACTCACCTCAGATCCGAAGTCCTCAACAGATTTTGTAAAACAGGTGAACCAGATGACGAGTTAAGTCCTACGTATGTAAAATTGCAAGAAAATGATGACACACTGCATACTACGTAGATAAAGATCTCAAAATCGAAGTAACCAATATTAAGTGAGACACGATGGCCATTCACGTTAACATGCCGTGATGATATATAACTTAGTTGGAATAACTTAAGTTTCAATTGAAAATAAAAAAAGATGGTGGCGGCTCGTAGCGGAGGCTTTGGAACTAGAGATATGTTCTTTTTATGTCCATTTCTAACAACTTTGATTAATTTAACTAGCTGGTTATTTCAACGAAATTGACCAATCGCATCTATCAATTCTGATCAACGAGAAATGCGATTGGTTGATTTCGTTTGAATAACCAGGGCTGCTATTCCGTTACCGTTCGGACAGTTGTCGAATCGGTAGGCGTCGTTGCGCAGTTTTTCTGCGGTATAAAAAGCTACACAACGACGCCTACCGATTCGACAATTATCGGTACACGGGAACGGAATAGTATCCCAGCTAGTTAAATTAACCCAAGTTGATAGAAACGGGCATTAGTCCCAATCCACAATAGGTAGTTAAGCCTTAAGAAATTGACCAATCACAGTCAAATTTGAGGAAAATAATTTTTAAGACTTAAAGCTTACTACACCTATTGTAGATCGGGACAAATGAAAATGAGAAAAGTGAGTGAATTCACTAGACCAATAAACTTGTTAACCAATGAAATTATAAATATCTTAGTAAAATTCGCTCACTTTTCGTTATTTCATTTCTCACACAGAACCGTAATAAGCTCCTAAGGTATTTTTAGTTTCGAAATCTCCGCTACGAGTCGCTACTGTCCTTTCTGAAGATTTGAGGTTGTGGTACAAAACATGTTATCCCAGCAAACACAATGTTACATGTAACGTACGTGTTAGTTGTAATTTCCTACTTAACAATATAACTGTTACATAAGACACATGTTATATAACAATTATATTGTTGAATAGGAAATTACAACTAACATGTACGTTACATGTAACATTGTGTTTGCTGGGATTTATCTTAAGTATGTAATCTAGAGATCGGATAGGCAAGTACCTAGTACCTAGTACCTAGCCTGCATACTTTTATTGTATATCCTTTACTTTAAGATAATAATAGTAGTGTTACTTAAAGATGCCAATTAAATACCCAAGAATTCCATAATTGATACTTGATACTTGAATAATTAAGGAGTCCATGTTTATTTTGTTCTAATAAATCGTTTTCGCTTTGTTTTGTTATTCCATAAATAATCAAATTTAAATGTTAAGTTTATATATTGTATAATATAGTAATAGATGTATAAAATTTTAGAGAAAACATGTTACTTTAGTATGTAATCTAGAGGTCGGATAGGCTAGTACTTAGACCTATACACTTTTATTGTACACCCTTTATTTCAATAAAAAAAAAAAAAAAATGAGGTGGTACGACTCTATAAATCCGACCTTTACTAATCAAACGGCGAGTTACGCGATCTTTATTTCGAAAAAATACAACATAATGTAATTAATTTAATCGCATTACATTAATTAATTGCTTGACTAATAATAATTATACTTACAATATATATATTTTTTCATATATACTTTTTTTCACATTGGTGTAGAAGTTCATCTGTAAAGAACAACAAAAGTACACAGCGATAGACTTCTGTCTCAAGCACAAAGATACACAAAACGTAAGTTTCTGCAATGAAACAGACAACTTCTGCATAATTACTAAACTTGATTTACCATATTTAGAATCAAAGTTGACTGACAGCGCAAGAAATGCTTCTCCTTTATTTTCTTAACTAATCTGATATTTTGCGAACGGTGCCAACGTTTCGGAAGATTTGAAAATGTCGATAGACTCGTCAAGAAATTCCGCTATTTCTACCGATAGTGAGCGCGAGGACGAAGTGAGACATCGCAGCAGTTCTAAAATCGCAAAGCGATTAAAGGCTCTCTTTTGCTGCATCAAGCATGAGCCGCATGAGGAAATAGTCGAGTATGATCCCGACGAGTACGATTATATCGTTGAGAAGCTCGTCGTAAAACGCGTGCCGCTCGCGTTGTTCGCAATTCGTGCCGATCTTTTGGACCGGCATGAATCCAACGTAATGATGACACCAGAGGGGCTCTCGCGATCGACGTCCTCGTCCATTTTTCGTAAAAGAAGCAATACTGCGCAAGGAACTACTTCCGTGAAGATTACGACGAATAGCGGCGCGTAAGTTTGACTTTATTTGCAACTCAAACGTTGAAACATATGAGAACATCTGAATACGACTAATATTAATTTGCTTCTACAGTTCGAATCATCGAGCTAGGTCTTCGGCATGGCAAAAGGAAATTCTGGACAAATTCAGCGCCCTGCATCCCGATCTGAAGGAATCCGAAAGACTACCTAAAGATCCGCGGAATTTTTCATGTAGCAAACAATCATTCACGGAGAACGTTTCCGAAATTGCATCCAGCATGACTAATGTCTTCTCCGAACAAATGTCCTCGGTAATCCTCCAAAACAAATCCGTTCATCGTAATAGACCTATCTTTGGATTTAGCAGCAAGAGGACGGAAAAAAGCGACAGATCGAAGCAATCACGATACACGCCTTCCGAAAAGGATCGGAGTAATTGTTTGCCTGGACTAAATCGGAGATACATCGTGTCGCCGTTTCGAGTGCAAAAAAATTCCTTTAATCTCGAGAAACGAAAGAACGTCGATGAAGACACCGGAGTAAACTGCAAATCGCTAACGCATCTTGAGGAATCCGTCGAGGAGAAATCTTTACAGTTAGAAGAGGCCTCGAAAGACAAATTGCCGAATAGGGCAGTTAGATGGAGAATCACTATTAGACGACAGCGTGCGAACACGAATTCTGAAGTGGCCGCTTCCGAGGTAGTAAAAGATTCTTAAAGAAAAAATGAAGATTTGAAAATATAACTGTAACCATTTACATTATTATTATAATCGTTTGAAAAATATTGAAATATAGTTCTATCAGTGTGAAAGTATTAAAACAATTCTAGCTATTTTTACATTATCATTTAAAGTTAATATTAATTTTAATAATATTAATTATAATAATATCAATATCATTAATTATAATATTATATAAATATTAATATTATATAAATATTAATGAAGCAATAATGAATGTTAAAATTACTATTAAGAATTAATTTCTTCTATATTCAAGATTCATCCTTTGCAAGGAAAAATGCAGCCGTGAATACATAGCCTCACGCGTACTCGCGGCAGCCCACCTGCGTCTATGCTCCCGCACCTGTGGACGTTGCCGCGGTGACGAGGATGGCAACACAATGGCAGCGATCGAGATATTTTCAAGCTCGGTCTCTTACAAGTACAAAAACAGAATACACTCCTTTGCCTCGATCGTCGTTCTCCTGCTCATTGTGCTATCGTTGATCACGCCGCTTTTCATCGTCTACCATGCAGGAGGTAAAGTATTGTTCTGGCTTTTCGTGGCTCGACGGTTTTGACATGCGTGCTTCACGACAGTGACGTACCTAAAGTTTGAAAATTTCTTATTAAATCAGGTGTCTGGCTGAAAAATCGGATGCACGCGGAAACGCCGGACGTGCACTTCGAGTACAAGTACCTGCTGCTCGCGGAGGTGAGTCCCTACGAGGAACCCATCGTGTGCACTACGTTTACAACGTACAAAGAAAATGAGATCGCAGATCACTGTACAATAATCAAGGTAATTTTATCGCCGTCGAGGCACGAGACTCGACACGTTGTCGTCGGTCATAAATTTTTAAATTAAATACTGCTTATTAATTTATCATTTTTATCTACGTTATAATACGTTTATATCCAATTTTCATTCGTTCAGGTGCGAGAGAATGATCTAAATGGCGACGGGCAGAAGGATTCGTTAAAGTTCGAGGCACACTTTTATACGGAAAAGCCGGTGAAATCCATTAGACTTCTGCTGTTCTTCAATTTTCAATTGAAGGTACACGCCACATTATGAACGCTAATTTACAACGTAAACTAGCATAGTAAGCGAAGATACACTCGTGCCGAGTTTTATCTGACGCAACTCTCTCGTGTTCAACAGCACCTCATACAAGCGACGATAGAATCTATCGGCGTGTTTGACTATGCGTTGAGTCATGAAGCTCAGGAAATAAGATTCTTTGGTGATTTGGAGCTGCGGCAAAAAGGTCTCCTGCGCAGCGAAGGCCTCTACGAGACGTACAACCACAGCATAGAACTGTCCGACTATTCTCTATCCGAATTATTGCTGTACAATTTCAACCGAAAGTGTACGTATACGTTCGTTTTTTCACGCGCCACTCGACATGTACATCCGATAACGCGCACATGAGCCAATCGAGTTCCCCCGCTTTTCCGAAAAGAAAAAGGCGCTGGGGTGCGCGAGACCTCCCGGATCGTAGTTCGGCTTCGGACGCGGACCCACGCACGACTAATCAAAGTTGTATTCGTTCCTCAGTTTCAGCCAGAATCGCGAATGAGCATGTAACGTGGCGTAGCGGCTTCTCTAGTGACGAGACTGTGGCGGTCATCGGCGAGTTGTTCTACGCAGAAAACTTTATTCACTATCAACCAAGCGTGTGGGAAGAACTCAAGTGGGCATGGATCCAATATCTATCATGTCTGCTAGTGTTCGCTTACGTATCCAAACACATCCTGGTGTTTCTATTTACGAATAGATACCTGAACACGTACATTGTAAAACCCTGGGCAAATAAATAGACGGTAAATAAATTTGCTTTTATATACGCGCGTGTTAGTAATTATTTCATACATACATACACACACATATATATATATATTTATATATATATATATGTATATATATATATGTGTCTATATATATATGTGTGTATATATACGTATATACGTGTGCATAGTTTTGTACTACAGGAAGTTTCGTCATCAGCGCGTTAAATTTAAAAAACGGCAGACTCTTCAGCGAATAAGATTGTTTACTTCATCTAAAATTCGATATGCATAAAAATTTTTTGATTATTTGCGGTCAAAGCTCGGGGGTTACTATCTCCTATCGCTGACCTCCCCATTCACGCGTCTGCTAGACGCCAAGCACCGAGAATAACAATGCCGTATGGACTAAATTCTCAGCGTTCAGCCACTGATGTTAATTAGAAGTCTGATTGGGCTTCTGCTTATAACTTGAAAACAATCGATGCCTTGTGATTGTTGTTGAGGAAAACCCGACTTTAAATTATTCGAATCTGCCGATAAAACTAAATATGCTGAACGCGGGACTTGTACAACTGTGTATCGTATTCATATACATAATATATGTAATCTCACTTTACGTCTTTATGCATTTCTCGTTGCCTTAATCAGTTAAATACCTTTGCAAATTCGAGTGTATTATTTTCGTAGTATTCATCGTACATACAGGCCGAGGAAGTTGGAGCGCTGCAATAAATCATCACCCCGTTCATCCGTTCAGCCGTGGCGTTTATCGGATGCGAAAAAGCGCGCGACTTCGGCTTTCCGCGCGGTGTCGGCCGATATCGGCTACGTAAATTGGATCGATAAGAGGGCCGGTTATGCCACCTCCACTCCCGGCGCTACGCTCGGCAGCATCGTCGACGTCGACTTCCACCCTCTCGCGCTCGTTCTTCCCGGCTGGCGAGCGGCGGTTCAATGAGGGTGGAGACTGCGCCGTGTTCGGCCGCGTTTTCGCCGTTCTCGCGGATGCACGCAGCGCATAATAATCGCACGCGGACGGTCTATCGGCACCGGACCGACGTTTAAAATGGGTGAGTTTTGATCGTGTCGAGGAAGAGCGCGGAGAGCATCGTCGATCGGCGAGTTGTGATGTGTTCGCACGATGTGTAATTTTCCTCGCGAGCGTCAGACGACTCGAGCCAGGCCCTGCAACAGGAGTTCCCAGGCTGGATAGGAGTTTTCAATCGCCGGGATCAGTCCGACGTGCGCGAAGTCACGATCGTCTGAAAAATAGAAGACATTTAGCAAAAAGTTCTCCAAGTGTAGCCCGATATGAAGAATTCATAAGTTGTAAATTCATAATCTTCGTGCAATTCACCTTTGTTTGCGAGGAGTTCTTCGCTCTCGAGAAGTGCCAGAGACGATATCGTTATAATTTCACACACGATGGCTCTTCGCGTCTTCGAGAAGCTCACGAGTGAAAATCTTTTTAAACGCAGAATAGCGCGAGATACGTCACCGACATCACGATGTCCACGAGGTCGAAGGAGAAGGTCGTGGCAGCTTTTCGCAAGCTCTTTCGGTCTTCCGACAAGATCACGGAGCAGGAAGGCGCCAGCGGCTCAACTGGTTCGCCGTCGAGGAGGCTTCTGAGTCGTCATCATCGTCCGGATGCCGTCACCCCGGCGGCTAGCTCGATGCCAGAGAACTCTGGTTCCAGTCGTGCCGAGCACGGCAGCTGCTTCTTTAAATCGAAAAAGTCGTCCGGTACTTCCGGTCAGGTACGTAAACTCCCTATTGGTCCCACGAAAAAATCAGCTGAGAGTTGCTATGCGATGAATTCATCAAAATAAATGAAATATAATCTTATCGTTTGTCTATTTTTTATTGCATTCAGTAGATAAGTCGGAAAGGTTTTCCTCGTTCAGTTTACCACGAGTCTTATGTACGATTTTTATGTGTAGACGATGAGCATGGCCGAGAAGGGTCTGCGTCGGCTGATGAAGGAGCTCAGCGAGATTCAAAGGATGCAGCATCACCGCGACTCGACTTTTACCGCGGAACTGGTGAACGACAACCTGTTTGAGTGGCATGTTCGGCTGCACAAGATCGACCCAGAGAGCGAGCTGGCAGCCGACATGCGGGAACTGGAGATACCCCATATACTATTGCACGTTATCTTCCCGGAGAACTTCCCATTTGCGCCGCCCTTCATGAGGGTGATTTCACCGAGGATCGAGAAGGGTTTCGTGATGGAGGGCGGCGCTATCTGCATGGAGCTTTTGACGCCAAGAGGTTGGGCCAGCGCGTACACCGTCGAAGCAGTAATCACGCAATTCGCAGCGAGCATCGTGAAAGGACGGGTAAACATTACTTCGTTGACTTTGGTTAAATGCATCATTTCGGTCGTGATATAACTTGCATGTGATTCCTATTGGCATTGTAGCTTTTGCATACAGGTTTCTCAATTAATCTTCAAATTTGAAACTCTAAGAATGCAAAAAACGTGTTACATGGTTCGAGTTACGTGTTAGAATTCGAGTTGCGTTTTTCCTCTCACTTAGTGATAACTACCGATATGTAATTTCGATAAATAACAATATTACTTAGACAAATATAGATCTTCCGGAGAGACTCCTCAAATTTACACAGAATCTATTGTCTCGACAGGGGCGAGTGGCGAGGAAACCGAAGCCGAACAAAGAGTTCACTCAGCGATCGGCCGAGGAGTCATTCAAGAGCCTGGTGAAAACACACGAGAAGTATGGCTGGGTGACTCCACCGCTCGCTGAAGGTTAATTAGAGAGTGTCCCATTGTTGAGAGTCAGAAGAGGCTCGCTTGAGAAAAGTGCCGAAGTGCACGCCGGCCGAAGTGATTCTTCCGATTTTAACAAGAATGGCAGTGGCGGCGTTGAAAACGCCGACGGTGATTTCTTTATCCCTGAAGGAGCTCAGGGTGTAATTTTAATTGTTATATAATTGCAGTAAGAGGTATATGTGCAAATAGGTGCAGTCAGAAGCGCCGGATTTCATCGTCGCACGTACGACGTGCGTGCGCGTGTTTCTTTTTAGTCATTTTTCGCACATTTTTCAACACCTTTTATAATATAATATTACCATGCCAAATTAGTTGTTAAGATAAACGACGGTTTCTGCGTTGATAACAGTTTAACGCGATAGCTTCTGCGTTAATCGTGTGTACAATATCGTTGTCTTTACGCGCAGCTTCTCCGACTGACAATGGTTCGCAAGAGGTTTATTTACCCGTTGAACGTTGGAAGCTCATAACAGAGTATTTCGTTTCAGTAGCTTTGAAAATAAAAATAAATATATAAGAAGGAAATAAGAGAAAGAAAGAAACAAAAGGTTGCTCAATAGCGTATATTAAGGCGTTCGCGATTTAAATGTGCTGTTTTACATATGATTGAAGAACCGATTAAGTGTGTAAATATGAAACAACGAAAATGATACACGTAGAATAGTTCCTTTCTTCGTTTTATGAACCTTTCAGTCTCGATTGTAGTATCACCATTTACGAGGGAAGAAAATATTCGCGTGAGAATTCTTCCACGGAAACGAAAGTTTCGATTATGAGCTTCTGCGATAGTTTGTCCTCTTCCTCCCGCGTTTCCCTGCCCTCTTTTAAGACCTGACAATACTAAACGCGTTACGTACGTACAAACGGCTTCAATATGTTTCTCGGTCGATTAATCGCAGAAGTGTTTGTATAGTCGCAACGTTGAACATACACTCGAACGTGCCAAATAAACTGAACTAGTTCGCAATATTGACGTTTCTTCGCAAAATTTTACATTGACGTTCGATCGTCGCGAAAGTCCATGCGAACGATCGAACGTCTTACGACTCGTTTAAGAAGTTGATTTGCGATACATATTACGGGACTAGATTAACGATAAGAGAGATCTGATTGATTATCCGAACGTACGACTCTAGTACGGTGCCGAGAAGTCATAACATTTGTACAAGATTTTCAAATGAAGAGAGAGAGGTATGACGAAAGTTAAATACAAATAAATTATTTACAAATATATATGTAAAACCGGCATTAGTCTTTTTCGACGCATGTTAACAGTACTTTTGGCCTATTTACCATTTACTTGTAGAAGTTCAAAGACTCACATACACACACGGTGCACATGCCGTTTCCAACAATCCATTGGATCGCACGCTGCGTATGTAGAATTTTAGAAAAGGCGAACTGAGAAAGAAAACAGGAAAATACAGCACGAAAGAGGATTAAGCTTATCTTCGTTACCGACTTACAAACTAATCGCAAATTATTATATTTAGGAGTAATTTTCAACACCGTTTTATCAAGTCTGTTTAAATAAAGTTAATATCCAAAAATTTATCTAAACATTAATTTAAACATTATTATGTCTGTATAGAGTCCCTTAAAACGCGTTACATCTAGTTGGAATATTCACCGTGATTGGAAATAATTTAGTCGTTATTTATTTTTGTACAATTCCCTAATTCCGCTTTACGAAAAACGTAATTTGCTTACGTTTCACACTCACATACAAGGCACACAATAATCAGTCATTTGTGTACGTAATCCGTTCCTGCAGTTCTTCATTGACACTTGAGCAGTTATTTATATTAGGACGTCTAACAACACGTTCATAGTCTATATCTGCATGCATGGGTATCATCGTTAACATGATAAGAGACTCGTGTTAACAATGTACACATTGTACCTTTTTTGCTGACCACTTCAATATCCCTGATAATTTTTAATTATACACTTCTAAGAATTATATAATATCCATGTCATAATCAGTGGACTATGAACGTCGTAACGATTAAATGTACACAAGATAATTCTCTTAAACGAAGACATCTAAAAAATTATCCTTAAACTCAAAGATATAAAAACATTTTTAAAGCTTTCCGAAGCTTTAAAAGAAAGTTTCTTTATACAAATTCTTAGAGTTTTACGAGCGTAACATATAAAGTTTACGCTATTCTACTGTATGTACAATTCGAGGTGATTGGAACAGACATAATTTGGTGAAGTTCATATTTTGATACACGATCATCACTTCTATCTGCAAAATGTTCATTTTTATGTTGAGAATGTTGGAAATAAACTTAGTAAAAATTATGTCGATTCCAATTCTTGACATCTCATAATCTTATTAAATCATTATTATTATGCTTGATATTATTTTGTTTTCACGGTCACGTACTTGTATGTTGCATTACATACGCGCACGGCCAAAATATAGCTTCTATATGCGCGCACTACGTATCGAAAATTTCATGCTAAATATTTTCGAAACTCGAATGCATCCGGCAGTATCAATAATTGGCACTCAAAATTACACACTATAGTTACACTGCATAGGCACAAAATGGTAAGCAATAAATAATTGCAAGCTCAATATGCCACAAATGTACGTATAAAAATTACAAATTCACCATCGACGAGAGTAACGTCGCTCATTGCATAGTATTGTGTTAATACTTATTATAATTATCGTCGTAATTGACACTTCAATCACGATCGAGAATGTAATTTAACTAGAAAGTCCTTTCTCAAATGCACACTTGGGCATCACAGTAACTTGTTTGCGATAACCGCAGCGTCTCCCGTATTTACACGGTCTTGTCCTCTTGCACGCACAAAAACAGTTTAGCGCATATAATGTTGAATTGATCTACAAAATGTGATAATGTGGCAATTACGTGTGGGTAATTACGTAAACGCAAATAATGACGCGCTCGACTGATAAGCTGCTAAATAAGTCTAACGATAATGCTCATGTAACTTACGGGATCCATTGACGAGCCACGCGGGCTTCTCTTTCCAATAGATGAAGATCAAGTACACGGGAATCCCGGACAATATCACGATTATGCCTACGCCCACTTCCCATGGAGATACATAGCACGGTACAGTGACCAAAAATGCGCAGATTATGAAGAAGATGATTGGCAGAGCTAACCAAACCTGGAAAATACAAGAGTATAAATGAAGGATTAATCGAATGAGTCAAATAAGAGAGAACAGAAGTTATCATGGATACTTTTTATCAGGATAATAACAAGAATCGAAAATCGTGCATACCTTTATGGGACGTTCGAGATCAGGCTTTTTGTAACGCAGCCACAGGAGACCAGACACGGAGAGTGTGGTAAATAGAGCCTCAACGAAGCTGACATAATTTATTAGTACGTAGACATCCTCTATGATGAGGAGTACCAGGGTGATAATGCACTAGAAACGGAAATTATAGTTTAACGCTTGAAGTGGAGTCCGACCATAAGAATAGAAAAATTGCTCCGCGCGTGTACTGGCGCTTTCAGGATCGATTGAGTATCAGTTTATTAATTGATGTATTAATTCAAACAGATGAATTCGACAATTACGAAAAATTTAAAGTTAAACGAAGCATACGCGAACTTCTGATATTTAATTTCCGAGAAAAATTTAATTCACAATAAAAGGCAAACTAAAAAGATGGCTGGCGTTTTGAACACGCGATTAATTATGTTTCTATTGGAAAATGAGATCGTTAATGACGAAATTACACGATGTGCGATCGCGTGACGTGACTTCAAACGCAACCGTTCGGCCAGTCTTTTTATTTCACACGCAGAAAGGAGCGAAGATCGCGGGCTACGACTTCCGCTACCGATCGTCAAAGAGACGAGATTAGTATGACATGAAAGGGCCAATTTATCGCTCTCGATTAACGAGTCACAAATCAAGATGCCGGGTTACGTAGTGCGTTGCCGCGTGTCGACACTCCGATCCAGCTGGCTTCGTTTATTTCATTAAGACGCCGTTCTTAATGTAATTTCGTCAGCCTGATTTACGTGTCAATTAATTCTATTCTGAGCAATTGACCGAGAGTCGAATTATCGCACGCAAAGCGCAGATTGTTGCGATATCGACTGTATGCATGCGAAATGACCAATTAAAAAAAATGATTTCGCACGAGGACATTCGAAAAAACCATATGGATTACATCGGTAATAAATATTACAGTGATTTGGATTCGAGCAAACAAATTTCGTGATAAACGCATTATCGTGGTCGGTTCAATCCTGATACGTCAATCAGTAAAGTATCTATCGAATACATCACGTGGGTCGCTAACACGTCCCATTGCCACTATAGCCATTCGAGTGTACTGGAACAGATATTTCACACGGCGATAAACTGCTAATAAAAAGGTCGTTCACAGATTATCGGCGACGATTAAAGTGATAGGAAGAAAAGTGCGTTCATCCGTTAAGATCGGCCGCCTTTCTCTATCTATCGATGAGACATCTCTAATCAGCATTGCGAAATCAGTTACACGTGAGTTGTTCGCGACGTTCATTTATTTCGTTCGATTTTTATTCGAGAGAAAATCAGTTTGGAATTTGGATCGCAAATATTATTCGAGATTCGTCCAAAGAAAAATAACGAATAAAGAGTAATTGATGGAAATATTTTTTGCTATAGACTCTGTTATATTTATTTTGGATATATACTAACAAATAATATTTTGATTTTTTATCAGTCGATTAGAAATTTGACTTTACAATTCGAATTGCAATCGTTCCTTTTCATCTGCTCATTCTTTTGGACTAATTTGGTCGACATGAAGGCACAATGTGCGATACTTACAAGGAAGATAAGGGATGGCATCGGCGTCAAATTGCGGACGTTGATCAGGGCAATGGCAGTGGGAAGGTGTCCGTTTCGGGCCCCGACAAAAAAAAGCCTGGACGACGCGAAGATCGCGCCGTTCAATGCGCCGAAAGTCGAGCACGCCACGAAGAACGGTATGATCCATGACATAACGCCCAGCAGTTTATCGCCGAAGGTCTAGAAAGGGAAAATCCTGCGAATAAATGCTGCGCTAGAAAGTAGAGCGGTATCTTGATTATACACGGAAAGCGGCTGCGAGATTACGTCATTTTTCCGTCAAGTCAGCAGCTTTAGAATTTCACTTCTCGTGTACACTGATATTGCAGCTCTCCAGTTTTATCATTATTAAAGAGAACGTGCTTTTCTCAGTGAAAAATGCATCGAGGAGACGTCGCGACTCGCATTCTCATTTTTAAAATATATATTATTCTTTTTACAGCTCAATGTATTATTATCTTTACAACGAGTAAAAAGAATATTGACGCGAATGCGATTGCTTGGCATTGAATCAATCACATGAATCGATATTCACGCGTATATTTACAAGCGTGAACTTACCACGGCGACGGCATTTGACGCGAGTATCTCGTCTTGCGTGAGTACCACGAAGTAAGCGATGTTCGCGAAGACGTAAATCACTGTCACCAGCGGTAACGATATACAAATCGCCTTAGGAAGATTTCTGCAAAGATAGAAAAAACGGTGATTATTATGGAATCTTACGTCTATCTGATGAAGCGCTCTAATTGTATTTTTATACATGATATATCTTCATAAATATGAACGACCCACATATATAAGCTTTATAATTTTTAACAATATAACTATATTTCCCAATTAGAATTAGAATGTTTTAACAATATATACTATATTTTTCAATTAGAAAAATAGATAACTTGTCGCAATTGATTTTTATCGATTCCAGTTTTCCTCCCTATAATAAATTAATTGGAGAATCCTGACAGACGAAAAGGAGGCCATAGAAGGTTCGGAATAACTTACTTGTAGGGATCCTTCAGTTCTTCCGTCACGAAGTTGAGATAATTCCAACCAGAATAGGAGAACAATCCCGAGTATACGGCCAAAGCAATATAACCGGGCTGAGTGTTGGTCCCGGCCATCGGATCTTGGAAGTTTTTTGTATGGCCCATGCAGAACCACCAGAAGCCGGCCACCATGATGATCACCAGAGCAAAAATCTTGGTGCCAGTGAAGATGTCCTGCACTCTGGTCGCCCATTTGACGTTGTAGCAGTTGATAACAGTTAAGAGACCTGCAAACACGACAGAACAAGAATCAGTACACGCCGTTGTGCGTTAATATCGTCGCAGCAAGCAAGACAATCCGATGCGCGTGTGAGTAACGCTTCCGGGTTATATTTAAAAGTCGCGTACGCAGTGTTCGCGCCATGTTTTCGCAGATTGCCCACGCGAGCCTTACGTCGCAGCGCAGCATGTGCATCGACATACTTTCGGCCAGCATGGCGATATCCATGATTCATCACCCGGCATCTATAGTCAATATGGTACATCCATTTTGCATTATCGGGTGCCTCCATAAGATTATGAGAAATACGGATTAATCGATCAGCCAGGAAGAAAAGTCAAGACTTTTTAACATAATGAATCAAAATAAATCAAGATAAAAGCCTCTTATAAAGAATTCAATGCATCTAATTTAACAAGTATATAATTATCCACAGAAACGTATAATATAAAGTTGCAATCGATTATAAGAGTTACAATCCGGTTTTCTTCTCAGCTCTTCCGCTTTTCTCACACATATGTGTTCATAACTTCGCGATAATATTCATCTTACACGTGACCACGGCGGCCAGTAGTCGCACTGCTGCATACGGCGGTGTGCATCCGGGCCATACGGGCTGTAGGATGTATTGTGCGAATGTGAGAGCGGTGATGGCATTCCCCGTTGGAACCAGGACGAATAACGCCACCCAGAGATAAAGGAACGCGGGCAATGGTCCAAAAGCGACGCTGATGTATGCGTAGTCACCGCCAGATTTCGGGATCATTGTACCTGCAGACACAAGGAGATACTCTGTCATCTGTATTTTCATTGAGTAAACCATCGATTTGTACGTGCGCGTGCCGCGGCTGCATTAGTTCACGCACACTTCGCAATCCCCGAGTCGCGACATGTGCGCGAATCGACTTTGTTTTCTCGTGGAACGATTCGTGATGATGCACACGAACAATGCGCTTTATCACGCCCGCCCCTTTTGTGTTTTTCGAGATATCGCGTTCGAGATATAATAAGGTTTCTTATTCATCGACAAATCCGTGACACCAATGTCACGGAAAATAATTGTTGGACCGAATCGAATTTCTCTTCTTTCTCTCTTTTATTTCGAAGAGTCATTTGTACCTGCAATAAAGAGATATTCGGCAGGGAGATGATTTCGGACGCATGTCTTTCATTTAATGTACGGCACGCGATAGTTGCGGCCGGTAGTTGTGGGTCGTAATAGTGCGCAGACGTAATTACGTGTATCACGAGAGCGCCGGGAATTTACACTCGTTCAATTTCCCGTTATGCGATAATAATGAATTAATTGCACACTTTTGCACTTTTTGTTTCCTCAATCTTGATCCATTATTGAGTGTACTTTGCTTTCATACGCGACAATTCGCAAACATAAATTTATCTGACAATTGCGAAAATAGTATGAGACGAAGATAAGCGTCAATTAAGACGTCCGAGGAGATTTAAACAAATGTTTTCGTTGTGATTGTGCAATATGAGAAATTGTGAAACTTTATCGCTTTACGCTGGTGTAGAAATCCAAAAGTAGAGATTCTTAACTTCAACGGACCGTCGATACTTTTACTCTTAATTAATTTTGTAATTATCAACAACACATGATACTTTATATCAGTGTCATTACTTCGTAATAGACGTATCGCTTGAAAACAGTTTTTAAGGAAAATTTATTCGTACCTGTGATAAGATAAATGTGTTAAAATTATGTGTTATTAACGACTAGTTCACACAATAAAATGTCTTAAAATGTTCTATTTGATACTTTCAAAATATGATAAAATGTTAATATCAGAAATAAAATTTTGAGGCTCAAGACGTTTGTTATCGAAAGTGGAATATTGATAATTTAATATGAGTATTATTGCTCGAGTTATATGTGTGATTATGTCATCGAAATGTGATCATACTCTTCTTGATACACTTTGATCTTTGACAGCGCAGGACATTTCGCACAATCCGTATTCGATATTGAGGTCAATATTATACATTTATTGAATTGTTATTAACATAATAATAATGAAGTATGCGAATTATGTCGACGTATTATGCTAACACATTTAAGTTTCTAAACAAGAATATATTTATATATATATTACATATATACGTGAGGAAAAGGCGCTAAACTTGTATGTGTGTGTGTATGTGTGTGTGTGTGTGAAATCTTTCTCACACTTGCCGATTCTGATGATCTGCTGAGTCTAGTTATTTTGTGCCAGAAAATTAATAAGATAATAAGTATCCATATTTTACATTACTAATGAACTTTTTGTAAATAAAGATCCTCGATATTTGAAGCATAAATAATATGTAATTTTATCGTGACAAAATGCGGCTCTGTAAATAAGAAGAATAAATAAGAAGAAATTGTATGATAGGTAAAGTGAAACTGACAAGAGATAGAAATGGAAAGAGGAAATAGCACACGCGACATGACCTTAGTAAAAGTTTGAAATAAGGAACATCTGCTCATAAAAAAATTCAAGGTGATGCTCAATTCCTTCAAAACGACTGACTCAGAATATCCGAGTGTATTTTATTGATAGTGTTATTTTCTGTGTCTTTCCAGGGGGAAAAACACCGGATTCTGTTTTTAGGTCATTGATACCGGGATCTTAGTCATCGCGATATTATGTACGTCACGGTCGTGCTGACAGCAGTTTCGTACGAATAAAAATATTTTGCTTTGCAACAAAGGGATGGAGACAAAAATAGAATAAACAAGAAAAACTGTTTGGAACTCGAAAATATTTAACGAAATCTGTACAAATTAAAACGAATACCTTACATTCAGATTACTGTTTCACATCTTCCTTAAAATATTTTGTATTCTTAATATTAATACAATGAAATACTTATTTAAAATCTTATCATTTTTTTAATTAAAAAGAGGATCGAATATTTTCCCTCTAATCGATTTAGTTTTTTTTAAAGAAAGCACGTGAGAGTCTGCCCTGTCGCCACCTGTCGAGCGCGCCAACTCGAAAGCCTGAGCTCTTCCCGAATGTAAAACACAACGGATTTCCTCACTTACCCAGCTCGGCATAGCACAGGGCGCCGATAAGAGACAGGATCCCGGAGAAGACCCAGATGATAAGCGCCTGGCCAACGCTGCCGCTGTTTTCGAGGACGCCCTTCGGCGACACGAAAATTCCAGCGCCGACGATGATGCCAACGATAATTGCTACTCCGTCCAATAAGCCGAGCTCCTTCTTGAGTTTGACCTCCTGACTACTGTGATTGTCGCCGTCGTCTTTCGGCCCTACGGAGACCGGCCGTAGGACCTCCGTTGGCGCTACCTTGTCCGGCATATTCTCGCGTGGACAATGCACGTGGTCGACTGCGTTCCTTGTCAAAATTTTTGCGCGTAGCTATCACACGCTGATCAAGGTGACTTGAACGGATATAGTCTGCCGCGTCGGCATCACCACACACGCGCGCGCTCCTGTGCAACGTGGTCGTACACGTGGATAGAACAAACGAGACAGTTCAAGACTATCAAGAAGGGAAACGCGCGTCGCGACGTTTACACACCAGGGACACGTGCGCGACTGTGTTTCCGCTCGATCGAACCGTATGGCCCGTTCGCCGATACCTCACTGCCCGCTCTTTCTTTGCGCACGCTCTGCCTGCGCACAATGCTGCGCTGCGCCGGTACACGCTGAGCTATCACCTTTACCCTCTGCAGCGACGCGATTCGTCCACCACCGATCGAACAGGCGCGACGCTCGCGACCACGCGCGTCCAGTGGCGCGGACACGTCCGTGCCGATACGCCGATGTCGTTGAATTGCCGTGGCATCGGCTTCAACTGCAAACCATCACGGGAACAGGATGATTCTCGTTATGCCGAGATCCCACGATGTTTCTTCGCGTTTAACAACGATGCCTTGTGTGAAGAGTGATTATCAAGTACGCTCGAGAACGCGATAAAACGTCGAAACCGCATGTGTCCCCGACACGATTCCAAAAGTCACGAATCAATCTTCCTCGCCGATGTTTTTCGAAGCAAACAATTTATATGTCGGTTCTTTTCCGGATGCTATCAGCGACGATGAGTTGGCTGAGAAAGAACAAGCGAATTAAAAGTTAAATTTGCGATGATAAGCAAAAATCGAAATCACTCAGTAAACACCAACTAACAATAATATTGCAACAATATGATAATTTCTCACTCAACGATGTAACTGTTACGTACAACACATATTACATTATATATTTAAATTGTTGAATGAAAAATTATAACATTAATGTAATGTTACTATTGATTGGTGTTGATTACAAATTATTATGAAAGTAATTTCAACACTCACGACACTATATATACGCTATTTCTTCCCGAATTTCGTCATCCTTTCGTCAGTGTGTCCGTTATTTCGACGCCAATGAGACTTCACCGGTTCTTACAGATTTCGGAGGTTTGTTGCATCACCAGTTTCAGCATTCACGATGAAAAGCGGACGTGCCCACTTGCGAAAATAAAGTATCATACCAAACAAGTAGATAATAATGATATTTATAGTAATATGACACGATCGATAATCAAACGGAAGTTCGCGAAGATTTGCGAAAGTGCGAATACTAAAATCGGTTAGATTGATGCATTGAAAGACGTACGCAAATATTAACAGGTGTATTCGTTGTCGCCCGTTTGTTTTCTCTCGGTGATTTGCGCGATGCGTCTCGCCGAATATTGACAATAGATTATTTTAGCGCCAATATTCACACTCGTTATCACGCTGATCGGCGCATCGTACAATGCCTCTTCCTTCACGCCGGGCAAGAATTCTTGTCGCAAGTACGTTACCGTTGCTATGTGACAAGAATTCTTTCGAATTTTTGCACGCTCGCAGTGCGTCCGAAGCTCTGCGGTTTGGGTAAATATCCGCGAACAACCATGATAAGATATAACGGTAAAATCGAGGCGAACAGTCGCACGGTGTGTTCACGGGACGTGTTAATCAGCCTCTCGTCCCATCGGCGATTTCCGCATGACGAGTCGCTGAGAGGAAGTCCCGGCGGCGCATCTCGGCGTGCAGCATCTCGCGAAGATCGCCGTATCGATCGCAAGTCGCGGCGCAAACCGCCGCTGACGAGGGTGGCTCATGTCGTTGGCATCATCTCGCGCAGCTTCACGCCGGCCGAGAAATCGGTCTACTTTTGATCTCACACGGTGCGTATGCGTTACCGGAGTTAGCGATACTAAAGCGCGTCACGTCCGAATGATCCCGAGAGCACGCATCACCCTCTCGGCATTGGCGCGCACGCGGCTACGAAAGAATCGTTACGGATCAGCGCGAGGTAATTTTCGTTGCGAGACTCGAAGATGACAAAAAGAGAGAGAGAGAGTGAGAGAGAAAAGGAAATATCGCGAGCGAGATTTTGGCGAAATAATTTACTCTCGAAAAAAGTTCTGTTTTACAACTGAAAAGACTGTTGTCGACACCCGAAGACTATCGTGAAGCTTATCGAGGAGACTTTTCGAGGCCGTAATAATAACGTATAAACAGATTCTCCGTATAACTTATCACAACCAACGTTCTCTACGCCAATGCCGCCGCACGTCCGTCCGTCCCGTCAGTGCCTCGCAACCTTCTCATCGTTATCATTGCATTATCACCGCACGATCGACATTGGTGTGCGTAGGTCGTATGTAGGTGTTACTTACTAAATATGAGCAATTCGCTGTGCCGATTTAATCGACGGTAGAGCTTTTCGTCGCGTTTCTGTTAATATGGACGATGGCTCCATTTAATGTTGTCAAGCTATCCTTTTATAAAATTAAGATCAGAGTGTCAAATCAGAGTTAAGTAAACTAAATTTGAGTGTATTTAAAAGAATTTTTTTCATCTTATATATAAAAAAACAGCTATTTTTACTATTTAAATTAGAGTTTCCAACAATTTCACTGACTATACATATACTTGAACCTTGTGTTTCCTATATTTTCTTATAACTTTCTTCTTTAAACAAATTTAAATTGAGAAAGACTTACCATATGTAACATCCTGTGGAGACAGTCAGATTTATCAAGATACATCTCGCAAAATATCTGTTGCAAGCTTTATTGATATTTTGATAACAGGACAGACGGCAAAGTCTGCTAACAAAGTACGATAACTGATTAGTAATAGAAACAAACTAGAATCTACCATCATTCCATAAATATTTGCATGGGTTAAAATGAAATATAGAGTAGACTGTGCTCAATTTCTGCTACCTGGTGTTGTTGGCACACTGTCAACAAGCTTAATGCAAATTAATGCTACATTTACAATGCTCTACACATAACAATATCATATTTGACAAATGAATTTTAATCTTTGATTACTTTTGTCGACGGTGTGACGACATTCCGAGAAGAAATCGTCGTTTGAGCGCCACTGCATGCCAGGCTTCCGCCGCGCGTGTTTCTCCCCTTTCTAATCCTCCTCGCATAGCTCCCCCGTGTCCACATAAAAATAATTTTTGACGCCAGCGCGAGATACACGGTGATAAAAGGCAGTGCGATTGAAATCGCTTGAATCTGGAAAGAAACAATTTCGCTCAATACTCTTTCGCCAACTGAACAAGTTGGTAGTATTAAAACATAACCGATCACATGTCAACAAAATGAGATAACCTAATTTCGAGTGTCATGGGTCGAAGGTGAAAACTCATTATCGAGATAACAGCTCAAGATAGTAAAATAAACTGGCGTTATTGTAAAGGAAAGCATGACATAATCAATATATTAATTGATTGCACAACGCAATTTGAGATTGTTATCGCGATGTTATCTTGAAGTGATGAATCGATCGTCCCGTGAACTAATTTACATAATTGAGGTTAAAGCGCCTACACGATCAATTGCATGAAATACACGTATTAACTCTTCGGATTTGTCATTATCGCATATTTTGTTTATCTTATCGTTTACTCTTACCTTTCCTCCCCTCGTCGCCTCCTCGCTCCTCAGTTAAAATGTCAACCAAGGGACAACTATTTGAAATGATCCAATTCAAACTTTTTGAATAGAGTTTCAAACGCCCGTCGCCAGGCGTTGCCACCTACAGGTAGCGAGCTCAACGCCATCTGTGAGACGAATGGAGAAGTGCAAAACCGATCATCTGACAGTGCGCAAACGTCAGACGCATTTAGCACGCAAAATTGCGAGTGTAAACACTGTTCTTTTGAAATCACAACGTTCCCGCGAGGATGAACAACGTCGAGATCGAGGACTTCTACCATCACGATTTCACCACTGCTTCGGAATGGGAAGTGTTCATCGCGCGGTTGGAGGAAATTATGCACGAGTGGAAATTGCCCCATGCAAAGATCGCGGGTTCCCTCAAACCGGGAGATTTTATCAACTGTCAATGGCATGAGGCCTCGGAGAAGCTACATTTTGCAGGTTAATTGTTTTTAACACAACTCGACGGACAGTTGACTCGAAAAATTTCTGTTACATGTTTGTGATTATGCAATATGTGGACTTATAAATTCGTAGATTCAAGGTGGTACACATATGGCAAGATGTAAATTTCACACACTACTGAAGGCAGTTTGCCTTCTTAAATTGTTAACAATTACATTTATTTCAGATGTAGAATTTCTGCTGAAGCATTACAAGTTAAAGAGGGAGGATGAAAGTGAGGATACAGCCAGCCCTTTGGAAGAACGTGAGGAGGACTGGACACAGTGTCAGAAGGATGCCTTAGACATATTCAATGACTTTGTGAAGCTTGATGAGAATTGTATGGAGATAACTCGTTACTATGGCTGCAGAGAATTTCTCGTTTTGATACCAGCACGAAAGGGTAGCTTAATGGATGAAACTCGAATCAAGATCTTGCTTAGTTCACTGACAATTGCAACCAACAATGCGAATTGGTAAATACTGCTAATCTGCATATATTTGAATTATATATGTGATATATAAAACTATTCAAATTTGTATGTGCATTTTAGTTACATCCCCGCATTCGTGCAGGTACAAGAACCTTGGCAGAAAATGTATCTCGGTGGCTGTGCTGGTAAAGGAACCTGTGTGCATCTGGACATGGTGCATTTAAAGAAGATTCCATCTCATTGCAAATATCTTACTGGTACATACTTTTTGCACGTTTTAAACCAACTTAATTAGTCCTATTTAAAATAATTATATGAAAATTATTTACAGGTTTACTCGCTCTGTTTAAGCAGAAAGTTAGAGAAGGCTCTTCAATGAGACTTGACTCTGTGATTATATCTGCTAGGTTTTCATACCTATTGAAGGACTGGACGAATAGCACGTGGACGCAGGAACCTCCGGATTTTGATTTCATGCAAGGAGAAACGTTAGGTGTGGCCGAATTGGGCAAGCTTCCTTTTGGCGCAACCTTCGATCCTATCGGGTACATAAAACAAATATAAAAATTTCAACAAGTTATGAAGTACCTTTTATCGTTTCATGATTAAATTAATATGATTACAGGGAACTCCATTTATTCACCACATGGCCGGAAATGTTGGACAGCGTCGTCGTAGATAGTGAAGTGTTCTCGGACCTGGAGCCACAACTCGCCCCCGAATGGTCGGTGTTAGTGAAAATGGTGTCCTCGCCAGCTTGCTTGCTCGGCGAATACATGACGGACTTTCTGCATCTTTGCAACAATCAGAAGACGATGGTGGAGTTGTTGGGTGAGAACGCGTCCTATATCCACAATGACGATCAAATGTTGAGCTCGGCCTTCAATGCACTCACCGAATCTAGAATACCCACTATCTCGTCAGTCGTGGGTAGAGCCAGCTCCAAGAAGAACAAGAATGTAGAGGGTCCGATTTCCGAGGAGATACTGCTACCTATACTTTACTTCCTCTTTCCAGACGCGGAAGATAATTCGGTGCGTTTAGTTTTTTAAAAGTTTCAAAACTTTTACAAAATATGATATACTGCCATTTTGCTCTTCCAAATGTTTTTGATACAATTAAATTTCAATTAATTCTCTCCTTTCAATTTCGATTAAATCTTTTACAAAAAACTAGATCAAAACATATCAATGTCATAGGTAATTATATTCATATTTGTAGAAATGCCCTTATGGCGACATCAACGCGTATAATGTGGATGACGACCAGTGGAAAGGCGTGAAGACCTGCATGATGGACAGTCTAGTGTGGCGTCTGTCGGTCGTAGCAGCGCACTGCACTCACAATCTAGGCGGTGCGACGGCCTTAGCTCAGCTCTGGCATGAGTTCGTGCAGGAAATTAGATTCCGTTGGGAGAGGAATATCCTGATACCGGGGTGAGTAGCGAAAGTCTTTTTATTTGTCGTCAGTACGCCAAAGACGATAAGTCGTTCTCGTCGTCGACGGCAACGAGCACACGAATGGATATACGTGTTATAAAATAAGGTAGAGTCAAGGGAAGATTTCTGAAGTTCCTCGTCGCGTTCTCCTCGCGTCTCGTCTCTACTGAGCGATCGACGTCGTTCACAAGATATGTCAGTACGCTTGGTCGCGGTGGCGTTTCTCCGGAGACAGACACTTCGATGTCGCAGTCTTTGGGTGGAATCGCCGAGTCCGTCGTGCGAAGATATCGCGCTACGATTAATCCGGAACTCTCGAGCCGGCCGGAAGCGCGCTGTCGGCTCGCCCGCTTCGTCGACGATCCGGTAATGAAATAGTACACTTACGTAAGGTTTACTTAGAGCTACACAGGGATGTACATATATCTAAGGCCGGTTCTCGACCTGGCTCGATTTGCGTTTGCGCTGGTCGCGCGAGCATTACACGGTAATACCTGCCGCGATGCTAGCGGTCGATGTTCGCAATCGGAGCCAGGCAGTCTTCGTGCGTGTTAAGCGCCGAAGAGATGTTACCTCGAGATATTGAATCTATCTAACTATCGGTCTACTTATCTATCTAAGAGTTCTAACAATAGATTGAGGGTGCTCTTCAGCACGTGACTTATTTGATACAAAGTCGTACAAAGATACATTATTGACATTGTAATGAACGTTTTCCTCACACTTTACGCGTTCGAGACTTTCTGTCCTCGATCAGAGCGACCGTTGATATTATCTAGACTTCGCTAGACGTCGCTTCAGCTTAGAACGCCGTACGAACGAAAACAGTCGCGACTCGGGTCGGCTGCTCCACTTGAACATGCTTGAGCAAGAATAAACGACGAGATCTCGAGACTACTACTGCGTCTCGATGCGTCAAACTTTAGAGCGGTACGAGGCCGCTCCTCGTGGTGGGGTTACGAGCCATATAGATGTCCATGTCGTGGTCGGTCCAATTGTTCTCGTCGTAGTTGTTGAGGGTGTGCGTGGAGTCCGCCAGGCTGTACCGGCTGCCGGGTCGCGGTGGGTTCGGCTCCAAGGTACGGTTGCGTGAGCGAGGTCGTTGCCGCCTGGCCGACGAGTGCGGTGGCAGATGATTAGTGGAGAAGTTTGACCGGGACATTCGGTCCGAGGCGGCTGCGAGCGACTGGCGCGATTGTCGCAGTTCTGTGCGACGACAGAAATTAATCATTAGACATTAGCAAACCAAAATGTCGCTTAACGAGTGTAGATTGAATGTATAAGATTAGTTATAATTAAATGGTAAGTAACCGACCTGGTCTCGTGCTGACGAGGTTGGAGGCCAACGCAGCGTTGGCGAAATATCGCGTGGAGTTGTTGGAGAAGCTGTGCTGGGATTGGCCGTCGGCGATCGACCGGGTGGACACTTTACCGCTGTAGTGTCCGGCCTGGGAGCGCACGTCGTCGATGCAAGATGCTCTGGTGATCGACCCTGAAGATACATTGCGTGAGTCGTAAGTGGCGAAACATAAAATATCGGCTGAGAAGAATTTGGAAGTCTGAAAGCATCTGTCTTACCTTGTCGATCTATCGGGAAGATCCTCGGCCGCGGTATGCTCCTGTTGCTATACGCCGACACCTGGTCCCACTCCTTCTGAGCGTTGTAGGCGCTCAACGTGGCCATCGACGACAGAGGCCCGCCGGGACTCGGTGTCGGGCCCACGTTTGAGCAGCAGTTGACGGGCAAACCGGCGATCGGGCCGCCCATCTTCGTCTGGTCGATGCTGTGCAACGTGTGCAGCTTTCGAGCGCGACGTCGGTTCGCTACAACGAAGATGATCACCGCGACGACGATCGTGGCGCAAATCGCCGCGCTCGCGGCGATCGTGATCTTGTCCATGTTCGAGGTCGGCGAGTTCTCCGTTCTGACCTCGCGGCATTGGTTGTACGGTACGTTCGCTGGCGTGATGTTGGTCTCCTCCAGCGAGACCACGCAAACCACGATGCATTCCTGCGATATAGACGAGTAGAAAGAGTTCAGTCATATAGTATAGCTATGTATGATACACGGGGGAGAGAATATTATAGTTTCTTTGCACATAAATTGTTTTCAAGTTCACTGTGTCTTTAGTAAAAATAGACTGTCACCATCTTACTGAAGAACATAATAAGTTTCGGTAAAACAGCGAACTATCAAATAGCACATTTCAGTTGCTAAAATATATAAATAACGCACATGAGATGAAAGGATAGTCAATCACAACAGAATGTCGATCTATCCCTCCATTACAAGATTTTACAACAATTTTTACTATAAAATTCTCTCCGTGTAGCTTTGGAAGTGTTAAGTTCTTCGCGAAAGCGCATCTACCTGCGACGGTACGTTCTTGATCTTGAACTCTCGCTCACTGGCCTCGAGCGGCGGCGCCTGCTTGAAACTATTGTCCCCGAACAATCGGTAGATCACTCTGAATCCCAGAATATTCGTGGCCTCGGTGTCCCAGTATATGATGACGGCGTTGTCTTGCCGAAGCACATCCTTGACCATGATGTCCTTCTCGCTCGATTTCGACTTGTATAAAGGTGATCCTAAGACCAACGGCGGTCTCGGTTGATGCTGTTGCATCTGATCTTGCGGCTGCTTCGGCGGCGATGGGGTGGTCCTCATGATCACGACGTTTCCAGTTCGCGCGGCGGTCGGTCGGCTCGTAGGGATAAAAGTGGAAGGCGGCGTCGGTGGTGGCGTTCTTCTTTCTTCGGTTGAAGACGATACCGTTACCGTGGTCGTGGAGAACGTCGTGCTCGTGATCATCTCGGTCGTGGAAATCGTCGGTCGAATCGTCGGAGGGAAGCTACCGACGTCGCCGACTATGGTATCTGTCGGCTCCCTCGTATCTACGCTCTCCACCGTTCCTATCCCGACGATCTCGAGCGGTCGTTCGCAACTCATATCTGAAAATAATCGCGTTTAAGTTCTACGCTCAAGTTTTGCGATTCTCACTGTTAATTATAGAACACATTTAGATTGTGGAACAGTCTATTGTAATTTTCACACATCAAAGTTAATTTCGAGATTGAGAAAACTACAATTTTTACTTTTTTTACTTTTACAGTTTTTTTTTTTTTTTAAGAAAGGAAGTTTTCGAATTGAGAATGTTAAATCTTCGAGATCAATTAATTTTCTCTGAGAATGGAAAGGACTAAATTTTCTGAATCAGTTACTAAATTTACCATCAGGATCGATGTTGTAGAAGCTTTTGTCCTGCAACCTATGCGGGCTGCCGCAGAATTGCGGCTTTCGTTCGCGGCTAGTGACCTGCAGGTCCCTCGTCTTGATCCATTCGACGATCCAGCGTAGCCTACAGTCGCAAACGAGGAACCGCCCTCCTAGACTCAGGCCGCGCAGGGTACCGTTCAGTCGAGCGAGAGCCTCTTCCGGCACCGTGGACAACGGGTTACCGTCGATTGCCAGCAGAGTGATTGACGGGTTTCCTTGAAAGGCGTTGACCGGTAGTTCGGTGATTAGGTTGAAGCCGATGTCTAGTACCTGTGAAATATTATTTTCATTATACTTTCGTTTAATCGTAACAAATTTGTCGGAAAAATGTGAAAAATTCATAACCTGCCTTATTAAAAAGAAAATTAGATAAATTTACGTTTTAAATTTTTACATTTTCAACGTCGAGTCTCTTAGATCCGTATTAATAACGGTTATTTAACTAGTAATTAATGGCTATTTGAAGCTAAATTTTATACTGCAATTCTAAGCAGGATCGTAAGTCTCGTAACTTGTTGTCGTAAAATTCGTAAGAACTTATGAGCAGATTTACAACTCTATACATATCATATGTCGTACAATTACTTGGAAATATCGAAAATTACATGAAATCGTAGATATTTACGAGTAATTGTACGGCACGTATAGAATTATAGATCTATTCATAAGTTCTTGAACTTTACGAGAGCAATTTTAAAATTAACTTTGCTTTTTTAAGGTCACAGTAGGGATATTCTATAATCCAAATATTTTCACAATTTAATAGTATTAATAGTGGTTACTTAAAGCTCATCTCAAGTGAGATATTCAGATTTGAATTCAAAGTTGGACGAGAGTTTTTTTGTTGAAAATTGCAATTACAAGTATATCATATAATTTAACTGGAAACAGCTTAGATCTAATTCTGAACTGAAATCTCAACATCTTACGTGAGACAAGTTTCAGATAACGAAGGCAGATATTAAGGCTCCTGGCCTCTCGCATTGTCTATCTCTTTTTAATGATGTCGGAAGCGAGAAAAAGCATGCTAAAAATTCTTGCAAAATACATTGAAATAAAAATATATATCCATAAAGTAACACTTTCAATCCATTAAACAAATTTGTAAGATATTCCGTGCACTCTCCTTTTGTTCTAACAATTAATAATTTATTGTAAATTAATCCGAATAGAAATAGGTTAAGAAGATAAATTGAATGTCATGTTAATTTACAAATTATTGATTGTTAGAGCAAAAGAGGAGTGCACGGAATATCTTACAAATTTGTTTAATCGATTGTAAGTGTTATTTTATGGATATATATTTTTATTTCGCAAGAATTTTTAGCATGCATTTTCTCGTTTCTGACGTTATTGAAAAGAGATAGACAATGCGAGGAGCCAGGAGCTTTAATACGAACCTTATATCTTCCGCGATCTTTACCTCAACATCGTACTTACTCTGAGATCGTAGACGCTGTTGATAGCCGCCGTTGGGAAATCCGGAATGAGATTGTTCAACAGGCTCAAAGAGCTCAAAGTGTTTCTGATACCGTAGAATGCGTCTGGGCCGATATTCTGTATGAGATTCCTCTCGAGATTTAGTCCAGTGAGAGAATCGAGACCCTCGAAGGCTTTCGCGCCGGAAGTGCCGGGCAGTTCACGTATACTGTTCTGCGAGAGATCGAGGAAGGCCAGGGTGCTCAGGCCTCTAAGCGCGTCCGGTACCTTCTTCTGCCGCGTGCCCTTGAGATTGAGATTCTTCAGAGTCCTCTCTAAGCCGTAGAACGCCCCGGCGGCGAGAGTGACTTCATTGTCGGAGAGTTTCAGCGTGACCAGCTTGGTGCTGGCGAAGGCGTTTTCGTTCACTTTGGTGATTCTGTTCATCGAGAGATCCAGCACAGTGAGGTTTCTCAGGGTCTTCAGGTTGACGCTGGGGATCTCCGTGAGCTCGTTGTCTTTAAGATTCAAGATCTTCACGTGGTTCTCCTGGCCCTTGAAAGCCTCCGGCTCGACGCTTTTGATGCGGCAGCCGGACAGCTGGATGTTGTTGATTCTGAAGGCAGCGAGCGAGCCGTTCTTCAACACGCCGATCGTGCTGTTGTTGACATAGAAGAGATCGACGGGCGTTTTGGCGGCAAAGCGCCGCATCGCCGACAGCAACTGCTCGTAGTCCACCACGTCGCATTGCACTGAGAGCTCGCGCGCCAGATTGTAGTCGCAGATGCACGAACTCTCAAGGTCCACCACGTGCTGCGCCCAGGGACAGGCGGACGTCGCCGCCATGGCGACGAACGCTCCCGCCAGCAGCAGCAACAGCTCCGTCGAAATCGCATCTGAAAGGATCAGAGAAATCATCAATTTTTTTTGTTTTTCTCTTTGTCGCGCGAGGAGGAAGCGCGTCGCGCAGGCTTAAGATTGATAAATTCGAAAGAATCACCGTTAATCCTCGATACTTTATCTTTTTTTCTCGAGGAACGCGGACGTGACGCTACGATTTTCGCGCATGCGAGTCAGGCTCGGCGAGTTCTCTCTCTCTCTCTCTCTCTCTCTCTCTCTCTCTCTCTCTCTCTCTCTCTCGAGTAACACGGATGTGGAGAAGCCATTCTTAGAGAAAGCGATGATTCCTTTGGGAGCACGTGGGTACACGCGTGATTGCGAAACATGTCGCAATGTCGTCGGCTTGCATTCTCGCAATTATGCGTCGCTTTTCATTATAATGCCTCACGCCTTCGGCGAGGCGTCTTCACCGAGAGCCTTGGAACAAACGATTTCGCAAACGCGAAATGCCATCCGTTGATTTCTGCCGGCGCGTTGTTGTTGCACAAATCACCCCATCTGGTCTCGTATCGAAGAAACGGAGCATGCGATTTTGCGCATGTGTGTGTGTTTTTCGCGTAACGTTCTATTAATCCCGGTGAAAATTCGCTCGGAGTTCGCGTCGGAAGAGATCCACCGTGCGCTTCCGGAATGTGTCGTTCTACAAAATGCACGGCCTCTCTCGCGCCAAATATTTATTTATTCATTGGACGCTCTCGGTCGTGTCGATGCCGAGTCGAATGCCGCCTGAGAAACCGAAACTCTCCCCGAAACAATGAATGCGATTGTCAGATCTCGCAGCGGTCGTGGAAATGATTGCATTTCCTCTCGCGAGTTCGTTAACGCCCACGGACGGCGGAGTCGTTACGGTAACGGCGAGAACGATCCATTTCTCCCCATATACGAGCGAACGAAATCGCCCATTAGACCGTGCGACAACAAACCTGCGGAACCTGCCGAATGCAAAGGCTAATTACAGGGCTGCGAGACAGTCTGCCGAGAAAAAAGCCGAGAAAAAGGAGAAATCACCGCGATACTCTTTCCTTTGCAGTCACACAGCGAAAATTATCTAGATACGGGAAATTAGCTGAGATAAGTGACTAGCAAATGCTGCGACATTGCATATGTTTTGTATTTAATCAATGCCGATGACAGAGACAAAATTTGTACTTAAACTGTTTGTAAAATTTAGCGAGGAAATCTCTCTGTCGCGCACATCCAGATTGAGGCCAGATTAATAATTGGTAACGGAATCTAATGCTGCAATTCTAAACAGAATCGTAAGATTCGCAACTTGCTCTCGTAAAGTTCATAAGAACTTATGAATAGATCTACAATTCTATACGTACCGTATGTCGTACGATTACTCGTAAATATCTACAATTTTATGTGATTTATGATATTTACAAGTGATTGTACGACATGTGATACTCAACGAATTGTAAATCTACTCATAAGTCTTACGAATTTTACGAGAACAAGTTACGAGACTTACGATTCTCTTAGAATTGGAGTATAAGTTTGCCTGCAGATTTTGCTAGATTGCTATTACCGTAAATTCTACGTACCGCGGACATTTTCTAGCAGATACAAAAAATTTTATCTGTGACATTTAGAACTCCATCTGAACCAGCATAACGTCATTCTTTTAATGTCCGTAATCCTGTCGAGGGACATTTAACACTCAAACGCGCCGGTTCCGTTCACTATCCGCGCGATCTCGACAACTTTTGCGCCAACTTCGCGGCGAATTTTACAACCTGGCGGAAACGATCGGAGAAAAATCTCTCTCAGCCGCGACGCGTAAGTCACACCAATAACGTGAAACTTATCATTACGCTTTCAGGGCTGTAATTACATGCTCGAAAGCTCCTTGGCGCAAGCCAAGCTGCAGAATCGAAGCAAGAATTGCGTGCCGTAATTCGATCGAATTCGATCGTTACGTTAGATTTCAATCCAAAAATTTTGCCGCGTAATCGGACTTTCACGGGAGAAACCGAGCGGTGATCTTAATGATAGTTAGACGTAATCACTACGTAATAGTAAACCGGCGGAAATGATCTACAACACGAGAGGAGACTTAAAGAAAAGTTAGCGACACGTCGCGAACGTTCAGAGTAGCTCGCGACGCGATAATTTATTGAGTTACTTTCTCTATCTTATAAGAATCTCCGCCCCCCTTTGCATTTCTAAAAGTCCTCAAGATTATTACAAGATTATTACATTGAGAATTCCAGCCTTCTCTCTTGCCTCGGGACTACAATCATACGTGAGAACACGGCTTGAATTCGTCACGTAGTTTCCCCCGGCATGACGCAACGATCATTTCGGTGACTAAACTTGTGGGCGGATAGACGATGAATTTTAATGGAAACAACAGTGACACACCAGCCGGAATAAGTTGCGCGATATACTCGTATAAATCCGCAAGAATCCACGCACCGTAAGGTGCGTGGCTATCGATAGCGAGATCAGGCCGAGGACACGTATCGCGCGTAACACTCCGGCCGTTGACTCGTAACGGGTTCGGACTATGGGCTCGAGCTCGTTCAACGAGGCGTTCTCCAGGCTGGTCACGCCGGCTTTTCTTGCACGCTACGATTTTCCACGGCTATCGCGTCTCATAACCGTCGCCAGTTGGCCCAATAACCTCCCGATAGCGCCGTCTCTCAACCTCATTCAAATTCTGCTCTCTTAATTATTTCATGCGCCTATTCTGAGTGAAGTAGAGCTCAACCCTTTAACGACGAAATAATGTGCCGAAGGAAGTTGAATAAGAATTCAGTTTGCTCGAAATATGAAGAATCATGTTACGTTTTCTGTTTAGTTTACGAAGGAACTCGCAATATTCTCGAGCCGTTGGATAATCCTTTGCCGCGGAAAATCGATGAAAAATTCATTTCCCTACGCACAGCGCGCAGTTCTCAGCGGGTCGACGCACTTTGCATCAATACTAGTTCATTATTTCATACCTGCTCTCAATGAAGCAGAGCTTAACCCTTCAACGACGAAGTAAAAGGACGAAACAAGTCGAATATATAAAGATTCAGTTTAGTTGAAACGTATCAACAATCGCGTTACATTTTCTGTAGTTTACGACGAGACTCGCAACGTCCTCGAGCCGTTGGATAATCCTTTGCCGCGGAAAATCGATGAAAAATTCATTTCCCTACGCACAGCGCGCAGTTCTCAGCGGGTCGACGCACTTTGCATCAATACTAGTTCATTATTTCATACCTGCTCTCAATGAAGCAGAGCTTAACCCTTCAACGACGAAGTAAAAGGACGAAACAAGTCGAATATATAAAGATTCAGTTTAGTTGAAACGTATCAACAATCGCGTTACATTTTCTGTAGTTTACGACGAGACTCGCAACGTCCTCGAGCCGTTGGATAATCCTTTGCCGCGGAAAATCGATGAAAAATTCATTTCCCTACGCACAGCGCGCAGTTCTCAGCGGGTCGACGCACTTTGCATCAATACTAGTTCATTATTTCATACCTGCTCTCAATGAAGCAGAGCTTAACCCTTCAACGACGAAGTAAAAGGACGAAACAAGTCGAATATATAAAGATTCAGTTTAGTTGAAACGTATCAACAATCGCGTTACATTTTCTGTAGTTTACGACGAGACTCGCAACGTCCTCGAGCCGTTGGATAATCCTTTGCCGCGGAAAATCGATGAAAAATTCATTTCCCTACGCACAGCGCGCGGTTCTCAGCGGGTCGACGCACTATGGAGCACGCATCGTGCGCGTATACGCCGCGGTAATAATAACCGTTCGGCAATTATACGTCGCGCCGCATTTCCGTTCTAGCATCTCGGGACATCGCGACCGGAATTTCGAGAGCCTTTTTCCCCAGTCTCGCACGACATCCGGCGTAGCCCGCGTTACGTTACGAGCTGCAGCTACTCGTGCATCCCGCACGAATTCCCGCGAGTGCATGTCGTGCATCACGCTCAGCGTGTGATTACAGCGGTGCATCGGTAACTGCAGCCTCGCGCGCTCGCGGACAAGAACGCGGGCAGGTAGCAGTAAAGTAGGTTGACTCTTTAATGCGAGACTATTATTTCATTCTCGGGCGGAGGAAACAATGTCGCGTGCACGTGACATCGATCGTTGATCCGCGCTCGAAAAGAGGAAACCTGAAAATTACTTCCCCCCCATTGGATTGACCGATCGCACTCAGAGAAAAAGACGTTATCGCGCGCAATCGCGCATCAATTTTCTTTAATTGATAACTAACAATATGCGTGGTCATTTGTGAAATGACGACAGATTACCTCTCTGCTCAGTTTGACTTAAGCACATTACGACAGACATCGCCATCATTCACCGACCTGCTTTAACTAATAACTCAAAATTTTATGCAGTCGTTTGCGAAATGGCAGAGATATCTTGTATTCAATTTAATGAGCTCAACTTGCGCACAACGGGTGTGTCACAATAATTGTCAGATATCTTGCATACAAAACTCATATAACTGTCAGCTGTGTAGAGTTGCTATTATCATGTTTTTCCTCGAGTGCGACAGGAGGCGACGTTTCCGAAAGGATCAGAAGCGGCTCACTTCGGGAAAACAATGTCGCATCGAGAAAGTCCGCGTATGTGTCAAGGCCGATTGCATTGCAAAAGGCGATCGTGAGTGTCGCTCGCCGGAATGTCTGAGAAAGATCAAGCGAACGTCCATGTAATAAAAACGAGAAAGAGAAATTCCATTTTGTAATAATCTCACATAAATAAAATGTTTACAAAGATGACTGCTCCGCGAGATCTCGATTGTTGCCGCTTATGCGGCCTCCATAACGAGAACATTTGCTTCGAGGAACTGTTTAACGCCCACGGTTTTAATTACACAGTCGCTTGTGCCGATTTCGCGTGCAATTAGCGAATAGGTCTCGTCGGAAATCGTCTTCCGAGATATGCGCTCGCATAGCTCGCGCGCGCGCTATTACAACCATAAGGCGTAAAATCTGGGAAAACGGCTCACCTTTCACATTTTTCGCGCCGGCTC